TCTCACGCCCGACATCTTCCGATCGGAAGATGTCGGGCGTGAGAAGGTACCGGGAAAAGGCTACCATCTTCGAAATTGCCCATTCGGCGACTCGCGCGAGATGCGCGGCTGCGACGAGCACCGCACGTCGCGAGATGTGGTGATTCGTTCAAACACACCATACCGGTGTGGTGTAGATCGCCACTAGGGCGCGACGCCGTGCGCGGCGCGCGCGGCGTCGTCGTTCTAGTTTTCCAAATTTTTCCAATTCCATCTTTCCTCACCGACGCGTGCCCGACGCGACGTGCGGTTTCATGGTCGTTTCGACGCGATAGGCCCGTGCGCAGTCATCGCGTGGACGGTTTGCGGGCGTTGCGCGGCGTGTGCGTCGTGGGACGCGCTGGCAACTGGCGAAAATAAAAAAAAAGGGTCCCATCTTCCAAATGCACGAGGTGTGAGAGAACCTTCTGCAAATTTGTGAGAGAACTGGGCGTGGCTAAATCTTGTTTCATTCTTCCGTAGCGAGTTACGAGCGAGTGTGCGATATGTTACATGATTCCTACTTATTCGAATAGACGTTCGAACATTTGAAGTGTCTCATGAACGGCTGCGCTTTCGTTCAAGTATACCTTTACCTCTTACAAGTGAATCCTCGTTGAGGTGTGATCGTTTATGCTCCATGCGCGGCAGCTTTCCAGTCGCGGAGGCGAAGATGTGCATACCAATACCCGAGTCAGATGGTATATTCTCCCTGAACGGTACACTGGTGGTATCGTCCCCGGGCTCGACTTGTCGCTTTTCATTTCCAGCCTCCAATTCTTTCACCGCAACTTTTAACGCCGTCACAGCTTTTTGCCTGCGGATGGGATCCTCCTCGTCAGTGATACTCTGAACCCTTCTCAAAAGTTCGTATATCTCTGCTTGACTGGAAGTGTTTGACTTTCGGATTGTTCCCGTGCCAGAGTTCTCCGAATTCTGCTTCAACCCCCGTGCGTTATCATGGGAAACGCGACGACGTTCCTCGCGTCGGGCACGCAATGCATCGTCGTGCACGACGTTATCGTCTAATTGAAAGGCAGCAAGCGTGTATTGCAAATTAGCCTCGACCATGGCGTGTAACTTAGCAAAGCACAGTACGTCGTTCCGGCCTTCCACGCAGTTACAAGTTAAAAGTTGGTGATGTCTCTGCAGCGCACTCGTTTGAAGCATGTGAAGATTGCTGACTTCGTGCGTTGAACACACCCCCGATGTCGTATTCGTCACTTGAACATGAACGGATGCCAATATCTCGCGCCTCTCTGCGTCACAAAACACCGTGGAGGAGTTTCTCAGTTCAAACCGCAACTTGCCTGATTTGATGAAAGCGCCATACTCCCGCATCTTCGACTGATACGTATTTCGAATATAGTAAGGCAGCCTGTCACGAGTCACGTGCTCTCGCTGAACAAATTCAGGCAGCGCTACGTTTGTAAGGAAATAACAAAGCCAGTCCATGCGTCGCTGCTTCTGCCATCTGCTGTTCTCCTCTGCGTGTGCAAGCTGCTTGATGAAATTGTGATAGGACTCTGCTGTTGACGTGGTATCGATACCGTACTTCATTCCTGCGCGAAAAGCCTTCGCCCATAATGTGTAATTTGGTAACCACTGAACCTAAATGTTCACACACGTATGGGTTTTCTTTTCCGTGCTTTCATTCGAATCGAATCGAATCCCCCCGCCCCGCGTCCGACGCCCCGCACGCGCGCGCGCGATGGCGACGACGACGGTGATGGCGACGACGACCGCGCGATGGGCGCCGCGGACGTCCACCGCGGCGCGCGCGCGGGCGTCGAGCTCGAGACGGACGTCACCGACGGAAAAAGGCGCGAGGGTGACGTCGACGCGGGCGACGACGACGCGCGAGCGACGGCGACGGGTGCGCGCGCGCGCGAGCGAGGGCGACGCAAAGGGTGACGTCCCGTTCGGGTACACGCGCGCGGACGTCATGCTCATCGGTGGTGGCGTCACCGGCGCTGGATTCGCGGCGTACTACGGGTTACAGAGCGCGCTCGGATGGGAGGCGACGCGCGCGGGAAACGCGGTGCAGTTGACGTTCGTGTTCGGGCTCACCGTGGCCTGGGTCGGATCGTACGTCCTCAGAGTGTTTAACAAGGACATGACGTACGTGAAGCAGCTGAAGGATTACGAGGAGGCGGTGATGCAGAAACGCTTGGAAGAGATGCCGGCGCAGGAGTTGGAAAAGATGATGTCCGACTTGGAGGAGAAGTAAACGCGACGAGTCGACGATGCGGCCTCTTTCGGGCGATCGAACCGGTTCGCGATGAGGGGATACATTTCATCGCGGGTTCGAACGCGCATAAATGCAACGGTTTTGATCAAATGTCCTAGTTTCACGACCGTCTTATCCTCACGCCGACTCTCGCGACTCCCCGGACGCGATGCGATCGCTCACGTTGATCATCCCTCGACGCTCGAGAAACGGATATTCGCCCACCCAAACGTCGAGATACGGGAGGTACGCCTCCCGAATCGCCTGGAAGGTGTAGAAATCAGGATCATCCGAGGTGACGATGAGCTCGACGTCCTCGCCGACGTTGATATCCGCGTACTCCGCCTTGAGCGGAACCTTCAGGGGTACGCGCGCACCCGAGTCGTCACCGATGAGTAAATTAAACATCCAATCCACGCTTGACGTCCCACGCGTCTCGATGGGCTCGCACGCGAGTACTTTTGCTCGCCACAGACCTGCGTATTTTGCGCTACGAACCTTGGAGTTTCGCCTCGCCGCGAGCGCCACGGGCGCCCAGAGGAAGAACGTGCACGCTGGGACGGCAATGTATGGAAAGTTATTCACCGTGAGCACCGTCACCAGGAGCGACAGACCGGCGCGCTGGAACAACACGTCGCTGTCTCCCCAGAAGTACCCGTATTGCTCCCCAGTCGCGCCGATCGGAAGCACGCGCTCGTAATCCCTCTGCGTCAGCGCCCACACGTCCGGACGCTCCCCATCCACGCGTGCGCGTCTGCGCGCGCTGTTAAACCCTCGCCGCGCCCCGAATCCATCGTCCGGCCCCCCGCGCGCGCGTCCGCCGTCCCGCGCGCCCCGTCCGCCGTCGTCCCGCTCCCGTCCTCCCGCCGTCGACGACGCCCGTCCCGCGCGCACTCGATCCCCCCACCCATCCGCATCGCTCTCCTCGTCATCTTCCCACGCCCGCGCGCGCGTGCGCGTCCGAACGCGCGCGTTCGAACGGTCGAGCGCGCATGAACGGGCGCCGCCGACGCGCGCGCGATTCCTCGTCTCTCTCCTCATCCGCGTCGCCGCGCGCGGTGAAACCCGCGGGCGATCGCGAGTGAGATCCGTTCGCATCGCGCTCGACCGCGTCGGCGCCCGCGACCGCGCGCGCGCGTGTGCGGGACCCATCGAACTGAATTCGACGCCGTGCGAGCTCGCGCATGCTGACGCCAACGCCGCACTGCGCGACGCCGCGCGTCGTCATGCTCGCTCGGATCACCGCGCCGTCGCGCGCGTGGACGCCCACGTCCCTGTTCTCGCGTCTGGTCTCCTCGCGATGCGCGTCGTCGTCGCGAGAGGGCGCCGCGTACACGCAAAAGCGGACGTTCACCGAGCGAGACGTCGAGACATTCGCGAGCGTCACGGGGGATATGAATCCTATTCACGACGCGCGCGCGAACGCGAGCGCGTGGACGGGTGGGAAGCTGCGCGAACCCGCGGTGCACGGGATGCTCGTCGCGAGCGCGTTCGGGGCGGCGCTCGCGAGGTGGAAACCAGGGGCGGTGTACGCGAGTCAGGAGTTGAAATTTCGAGCGCCGACGCGCGTGGGAGAGGAGATGGAGATCGAGATAGCGTTGATTCGTCAGAGCGGAACGCGAGCGAGATACGAGACGACGGCGCGGAGGGTGAAGTGCGGGACGGTGTGCGTGGACGGCGTGGCGTTGGCGATTTTACCGGAGGAGTAGCGGCAACTTGTAGCGTACGCATTTTGTACAACAAATTGGGAACGTATTCAACTACCGCTCGCGGAAATTCGAGAACATTGAGTCGAGTTTGCTCACCTTGGCTCGTCCGGCGGGAGAACCTCGAGCAGCATAGCGGTTCATACTCTGCTCCGTCGCCGCGGACAGGCGTTGTTTCTGCGTTTCCCAACGCGCATTCGCAGACTCGGGATCGGCGCGGGAGAGCAAGTTACGGTCGTCGCGCGACTCGTCGTCTTCGACCATCGGAAGCCGCTGCTCGTGGACGGTGTGATCCGATATGAACGCTTCGTGCGTTCGTCCGATTTCCCCACCGTCGCTAATTTCGGCCCGCTCTCTGTCAACGATGGATTTGCCCGCCTCCACGCTCTCGTTCTCATCTGCATCACCTGTGAACATGAATCCGTCGGCGTGGAAGACGCGGACGATCTTGTTGAACCAATCTAGAGCGACGGCGGCGCAAAATAAGCCAAGAAACGTTGGCACGATGATGTTGAACTGACCCGCGATCTCTGGAACGTTGCTGGCCATCTTTTTGGAGAACGTCGTCATCTTTCCAGATGAACGAATGACTGGAAGGAGCATCAAGAAGTTGTAAGACAGCGGTGCGGCGTATCTGCACACCAAACTCGCGTTCACCAGCAATGAAATCGAGTCCGTGTTCCTGGGCACGAGCTGATAAAAACTAAACATCCCAAGTTTGAAGAGGGAGTAAAAGGTGCAGAAACACATGTAAAACAGAGGAAACGCCACGACGACTTGCACGGAGTTTAGCACCGACGTGGACTCGTCAGACATCGCCTTTTCTAACATGACGCTGAGGAGTGACACCTGATCTGCCCCCTTCCACACCCTACCGACCCAAATTGTGCTCTCGGCGACGATGATTGACATAGAAAAGAAGGCCAAACCGACGGCGATGCATCGCATGAGAATGGGCGCGACGACGATGTACCAAGTGTACTCCAAGTCGTCCAGACACCTCGCGAGCGGGCCGCTTCGAACGCCTCGATTTGGCGGTCGATGCAAACGCCGCGCTACGCTCATTCTGCTCTGCTCTAGCGCCTCGGCGTGGAACGCTTCCTCGACGGCGATGACGTACTGCGCTCGGGTTCTCTTGTATGCGCGCATGCTCTTCCGCACCGCGCGCCTGAGCGCGACCAAGTCCGAGAGTTCGTCGTAATCATAATCTAGGCACGCCTCTTCTGCGTCGTCCGCGTCGACGTCCGCTCCCGATCCGCGGGTGTTCGGCATCTCCGGCGTCTCGTTTTCGATTATCGTCATCGCCCATCGCAACTCGTGTCTTCTTGGCATCACCCCGCTCGTCGTCGCCACCGCCTTCACCTGCGATGCCAAACGCTCACGATCGCGCGTGAGTGCCCTAGATACCCCCGTGACGCGCCTTAACGCTCGCGAAACCCTTCCACCGTACGACGCTCGACGCCAAATCGACCTCGGCACGTCCACCAATCCGAAACCCATCAACAGCGTCCCCGTCGATATCCCCCACACGTTCGCGAGCACGATTCCGTACGCTCGCATCGTCTCCGCGCTCAACGTCTCCGTCGCCATCATCGCGAACGCCCCGATCGCGCACGCGGCGATCATCACACCCAGATACGCCCCGTTCTCTCGCGCCGCTCTGCGCAATCGCGCCCGCGTCGAGAAATCCCCCGCGTCCTCGTACGACGCGTGCACGGGCAGCGCCACGAACGTCGCGACGTACGTGGACCAATACATCACCTCCCACGCGCGTTCGAGCCCACGCGGGACGCCCGCGCGCGCCCCCACGGTCGCCCGCACGTCCACCGGGACGGTGAAGACGATCGCGAGCGAGAGCATCCACGCCAGGGCGACGTGCGCGCGCGCGACGACGGGCACGGAGACGTCCGCGAACGCGCGCACGCCGACGAGGGCGACGACGGCGGCGACGGTGACCAGAGGCGCGAGCCACGCCGCGGCGGCGTCCGTCATCGATGCGCGCGCGTGCGATGATGGCGCGTCGAGGGCGTGCGTGTCGTACTGTGTGCATGAAACAGCGATCAGTGGATCGTTTCCGATATCTCGCGTCCACACATCCGCCGACGTCGCGCGCGATCCCAATGCGCGTCGCGCGCGGTGGACGAGCGACGCCGATGACGACGCGGATGGCGACGACGCGCGTGGCCGTCGGCGGCGTCTCGAGACGAAGCGCGTGCGGACGCGGGCGTGGACGCGGCGGCGCGACGAGACGCGCGGTCACGGGGAATGAAAACGACGACGACGCGGGCGGGGCGACGCCGTGGGACGACGCGAACGATGGCCCGGACCCGCTCTCGAACGACGTGTTGCTCCGAATCGTTCGAAGCGAAATCGATGACGCGAGCGTGAACAGGTTGGTGTGGAACGCGCTCGGGTATCGGCGCGCGGTGGAGCTCGACGCGGAGACGTTGACGGCGATCGAGGTGTGGACCCCGGACGAGGTGTTTCCGAACTGGAAGAAGAATTATCCCGAGCCGCCGGACGTGATCGGGGTGACGAGGAAGTACGATCCGAAGATTGACGCGCCGGTGAAGGCGGCGTGCGCGGCGCTCACGCGAAGCGTCCCGGAGGAGCACAAGCAAGGGTTGAAAACGACGCTCAAGCCGTTGGGATGGGGCGGGTTTAAAATGGAGGGTTTGACGCCGAACATGACGCGTCGGGCGCAGGTGGCGAACTGGCTGCTGTTCTACAGACGTGAGCTTCGCGGAGTTAGCATCGAAGAGCTCAGAGCTCGGAGAGAGGCGAAGAGGGCGGAGGAGGAGGCGCAGGGGAAGACCGATCGACCGACGGGCACGACGAGGCAGAGCGTGGTTTAGAATGGTCGATTCTCGTGGTTATTTGTTATTAATACGTGAACTCGCCGTACTCACTCTTGACGACGACCTCCGATTTCCCCTCCTTGGCCTCGACGCGACCGACGACGCGGGCGTCAATGTTGAAGCTTTGGCTAATGTCGATGATCTTTTGCGCGTGTTCAGGGGCGCAGTAGAACTCCAGACGATGCCCACAGTTGAAAACCTTGTACATCTCGCTCCACTCCGTGTTGGAGCACTCCTGAATCAGGCGGAAGAGCGGCGGGATGGGGAACATGTTATCCTTGACGACGCGCAGGTTGTCCAACAAGAAGTGTCCAACCTTGGATTGCGCCCCGCCGCTGCAGTGCACCATGCCGTGAATATCTTTGACATCCATCGCGTCGAGGACAGCCTTCACCACGGGCGCGTACGTGCGCGTCGGGCTCAGAACGAGCTTGCCCACCGTCATGCCCGTCTCCGGCTCGACGTCGGTGAGCTGATATTTGCCGCTGTACACCAACGCCTCCGGAACGCTCGGGTCGTACGTTTCCGGGTATTTTTGTCCAACACTCTTCGCGAACACGTCGTGTCGCGCCGAAGTCAGACCGTTGCTCCCCATGCCGCCGTTGTACTCCGTCTCGTACGTCGCCTGGCCGTAGGACGCCAAACCGACGACGACGTCGCCCGCGCGGATGTTGTCGTTGCTAACCACCTGATCCCGTCGCATGCGCGCCGTCACCGTGGTATCCACCACCACCGTGCGCACTAAATCCCCCAAATCCGCCGTCTCACCACCCGTGGACTTCACCCCGACCCCGCACTCGCGAAGCGTTCCCAAGACCTCCTCCGTCCCGTTGATGAGCGCGCTCAAGACGTCGCCCGGAATGAGCGCCTTATTCCTCCCGATCGTGCTCGACACCAAGATATTATCCACGCACCCGACGCACAACAAATCATCCGTATTCATCACGATCGAATCCTGCGCGATCCCTCGCCACACCGACAGATCACCCGTCTCTCGCCAGTACGCGTACGCCAACGACGTCTTCGTCCCCGCCCCATCCGCGTGCATGCACGTGCACCACGCCTCATCCCCGGCGATGTCCTCCACGATCTTACAGAACGCTTTCGGGAACAATCCCTTATCGACCGTCTGAATCGCCGCGTGCACGTCCTCCTTGGACGCGCTCACGCCGCGCGCGGCGTATCGCTCGTCCGGCGTCGCCGCCGCTCGGGTCACCGCGCGCGATCGCCCGCGACGTCCATCGCGCGCGCGAGACGCGCCCACGACCCGGGGGCGCGCGATCGCGCGACACCCGGGCATCGCCCGACGCCGTCGCGGTGTCCCGCGCGACGTGCGCGCGACGCGCGACCGCGATCGCGTCGACGGCGTCGGCTGGGCCATCGCGTCGACGGTGTTTCCATAGTATCACGTCGTTTGCGCCATGTACGCCCGTAGACGGGTGTGTCGTCGTATAGCACGTCCGTGTGGCCCATCAGTGTGCCCACACGGAGACCACGAATGGCGATCGCGCCGAACGCGCGCGCACATCGCGACGACGACGCCGACGGGATCGACGGACGATGGTCACCGTCACGAAGAGTGCGTCGATGCGCACCGTCGCGCGCGGGGGCGGGGCGACGGGGCGCGGGAGCGACGCGCGCGCGATCGGGTGGGGGGTGGATGACGTTCCGGAGGTTTGGTGATCGCGACGTGGGACGCGCGAGGGGAGCGAACGGGCGCGCGTGCGCGCGCGCGATGACTGATGGAAGCGTCTCTCGATGTCGTGCGTCGCGTCGCAGTATGCTGCATCGGCGCCGGGTACGTGGGGGGGCCCACCATGGCGATGATCGCGCAAAAGTGTCCGGATATCGAGGTCACCGTGGTGGACATCTCGCAACCGCGCATCGACGCGTGGAACTCGAGTGAGTTACCGATTTATGAACCTGGTTTGGATGAGATTGTGTTCGCGCGGAGAGGGAAGAATTTGTTCTTCTCCACGGATGTGGAGGGGGCGATTCGTAAGTGCGAGATGATCTTCGTGAGCGTGAACACGCCGACGAAGAAAACCGGCCTCGGGAAGGGGAAGGCGGCGGATTTAACGTACTGGGAACTGGCTGCGAGAACGATCGCGGCGTGCTCGGAGAGCGATAAGATCATCGTCGAGAAGTCCACGGTGCCGGTGCGCACGGCGGAGGCTATCGAAAAGGTGCTTCAACGAAACTGCCCGCACGAAGGCGTTCGATTCGACATCTTGTCCAACCCGGAATTCTTGGCGGAGGGGACGGCGATGACGGATCTCAACGCTCCCGATCGCGTTCTGATCGGAGGTAAGATCGAGAACCCCGAGGGTCAGGCTGCTGTGGACGCTTTGGTCGAAGTGTACGCGAACTGGGTGCCGCGAGCGCAAATTCTCACCGCCAACTTGTGGTCGGCTGAGCTCTCCAAGCTCGCGGCGAACGCCTTCCTGGCGCAGCGCATCTCTTCGATCAATGCCATGAGTGCGTTGTGCGAGGCCACGGGTGCGGACGTCAAGCAAGTGTCCCACGCCATCGGCACGGATTCTCGCATTGGCCCAAAGTTCCTCAACGCCTCTGTCGGTTTCGGCGGTTCGTGCTTCCAAAAGGATATTTTGAACTTGGCGTACATCTGCGAGTGCCACGGTTTGCACGAGGTCGCGAACTACTGGCACAGCGTCGTCGGTATGAACGACTACCAGAAGAGCCGCTTCGTCAGGCGCATGATCTCTGCCATGTTCAACACCATCAGTGGCAAGAAGATTGCCATGCTCGGTTTCGCGTTCAAGAAGGATACCGGCGATACTCGTGAGTCTCCGGCGATCGATGTGGGACACGGACTCATCGAGGACGGTGCCAAGCTCAACATTTACGATCCGAAGGTGGCGGCGGATCAAATTAAGATGGATATGGGTGACGAAGCGATGAAGAGAATCACGTGCTGCACGTCTCACACCGAGGCGTTGACGGGCGCGCACGCTGTGTGCATCATGACGGAATGGGACGAGTTCAAGGAATACGATTGGGAAGCGATTTACGGTGTCATGGAGAAGCCCGCTTTCGTGTTCGACGGGCGTCTCATCTTGGACCACCAGAAGTTGAAGGATATCGGCTTCATCGTATACGCGCTGGGTAAGCCGCTCGATCCGTTCCTCAAGGGCGCCGAGGGTGTATGAGCGAGTTGCTATTCGTTGTGATACAATAAATTTCTACTCTACATAGTCGCAAGTGCGCTTTGCTATAGTATTTATGATGTTTCGCTCACTTACTTCCGCGCGTCTCACTCTCGATGCGTCGCACGTACTCGCCAATGTCAAACTTTCGTTTGCACCCGGCGTAGTTCATATACCGAACCTTGCCGAAGACGGCGCGCTCTTTCCACCCTTGATCGTGCACGCCGGCGATTGACCACATGCATCCGACGTAGCCGTTCGGATCGAGTCCGTCTAAAGCATACGTGTCGTTGAGTTGGATGGCTGTCTCAAGCGCAATTTCCGGAGACGGCGTCCACTCGAGTATCTTCTTTGCCCAGTACATTCTCATGAATCCGTGCATCCTTCCTAGATGATACAGCTCTTTTTGCGCCGCGTTCCATAGTTCGTCGTGCGTCTTTGCCCGCTCGAGCGTAGCGTAGTCGTACACGTACTCACGCTTATCCGAGGCGTGCAGGGCCAACGAGTCTTGCGCCCACTGACTCGCGCCTCGCAACGAATCGTAATCGGGATTGTACAGGCAAAAGTTATCGGAGAGCTCTCTCCTGATGATGAGCTCCTCTAAGTAACTGTCTATCGCCTCGTCGGCGACGATCCCACGAAGCTGCACAGCTTCCCACGCCGCCCTTCTCGGCGCCAACTGCCCGTGATTTAAGTACGGCGACAGACGCGACACCGCTCGAGGGGATGTCGGCTTGTTCCGTTCGCCGTACAGCGCTAATCGATCCGGCAAGAAGGAATCGACGCTCGGATCGAGCAGCGACGCGAGGGCTGCTTTCTCCCCAGGTTTGATCCAGTGCACCTCTGGTACGTGCGCGCCGTTCGCTCGCGCGTCGGCGACGAGCGCGGCCCAATCCGTCTCCATCTGCGCGAGAGATCCCGCGGCCCGAACGACCAAGTCATCCATCACCGTCGGCGCGGTGAGAAATTCATCGAGTTTTTTACGTATCTTCGGCCGAATCGTCCTCGCCGCGTATTCCTGCTTATCGCTCGCCACCCAGGCCGGGACGACGTTGTGCGCGTCCACCTCCACAACCGGGCACTCGAGCGCGCGCGCAATCGTCGCTCGCGTCGCCCGTCCCTCCCTTAGAGGCGTGAAATCACACACCACCGCGCTCGCGTTCACCGCCTCGCACGTCTCTAACACTCCCAGCGCGGCGTCGTCCCCGATCGTCGTCCGCGTCGCCGCCCCGCGTCCGCGCAACGCTTCGTCCAGCTCTCGTCTGCCCTCCAACCCGAACACCGCCCGTCTCGCCCCTCCGATGCCCCGACCGCTCAGATCGCGTCCGACGTGCATCGCGACCACTAAGGGCACCCCAAAACCGTTCGCCATCCGCGTCGCTCGCGCCAGCGCGTCGTTACACGACGTCCGCGCGTCTCGGTCGCAGTAATACACCACCGCGCCGCCCCCCCCCGCGCTCGAGCCATCCGTCCCCCCCCACGCGCACGCCTCCACCCCTCGCGCGTTCAGTCCGCGCGCGCGCCCGTCCTCGACGCCGTCCATCGCGTCCGTCGACGTCTCCGCGCGTCCGCGTCGTCGCGTCGTCCCTCGCCCGCGCGTCCATCGTCGCGTCGTCGCGCGCGTTCGCCATCGCGCGTGCGCTACGGACGACGACGACGACGACGACGACGCGACGACGCGGACGAGCATCGCGCGCGCGCGTCCGCCGAGCATGCGCGCGCGATGTGCGGGGACGTCCGAGGGATTCATTCGAGCGCGAGGACGCGGCGGATCGCATCGCGTCCGCCGCAGATCGCGTCGCTCGTCCACCGCGCGCGCGCGAGAGCGGGATGTCCCGGGCGGAGCGATGCGTGATCTCGGTCCCGCCCCACGTCTCGAGCGCGAGGACGCGGCGACGCCGGGCGACGCCGTTCGGACGCGTCGCCGTGCATCACGTCCCGTTCATCCTCTTGTACGTGGTGACGTTGAAAAGGTGTTACGAGACGAGTGGGAACCCCTACGCGGTGGCGCTGCGGCATCACCTGGATGCCGGGTACGATCCCGCGGTGTTGGACGCGGTTGGGGTGACGAAGAACGACGTTGGGGGGAAGACGCGAGACGAGTGGGGCGGGGCGAGTAAAGACGCGAAGGAAAACGAGTGGGATCTCGGTGCGCGCGAAGACGAAGCGAACGATGAAGAGAGGGAGAGTGAGGCGGAGGAGGTGAAGTATGAGGTACCACCGACGCTTCCGGCGAAGTGGTTGCCGGATTTCCCGGACGTCTTGGCGTTCGCCGCCGTGGCGTTCGCGCACGCGCTGTTGCTCTTGGCGCAACACTGGAGCGTTCGCGCTCGATGCTTCGTGCAGTACGGAAGGTCGAGTCGCGTCACGGAGGGGACATTTCTGTTGATCACGCCGCATCAGCATCAGGGTAAGCCGGAGATCGTTCCGGTCTCGCGCCTGCGGGTGTTCGAGCAGGATGGAAGCTTGCGAACCATGCTGTGGTGCGTGTTCCAGCGCCAGCGATACGAGTACGTCGAGGTCGAGTGGGACGAGCGACGTGGGAAGGGTCGCGGCGAGCTTCGAGAGATCGAAACTCCTAAGAGTCTCCCGCTCTCGTCCTACGTTAAGGCAAAGGGACTCACCGCGGATGAGGTGCACCACGCACACGAGCGTTTCGGAAATAATGCCCTCAAGGTGAATGTGCCGACGTTTTGGGAGCTGTACAAGGAGCAGCTCACGAGTCCAGTCACTGTATTCCAGATCTTTACCGTTCTTCTCTGGCTTATGGACGAGTACTGGAAGTACGCACTGTTCAGCGCGTTGAGCCTGGCAATTTTTGAAGGCACGACAGCCTTCTCGCGTCAAAAGAACGTCGCCACTCTGCGAGGTATGGGTCAGCAGGCGGAAAGAATCATGGTACGACGCAGCGGCGTTTGGGAAGAGCGCTCTACCGAGGAGCTGTACCCAGGAGACGTCATCTCTCTCAAGCGTAGAGGCGGCGATGAAATCACTGTCCCATGCGACTGCGTGCTCCTCTCTGGATCTGCAGTCGTTAACGAGGCGAGCTTAACAGGAGAGAGCGTTCCGCAAATGAAAGAGTGCATCAATCCGGAGGTGTCCAAGGACCAACCTCTCGATATGAATGGCGTCCACAAGGTGCACGTCCTCTACAGCGGCACGAGTTTGATGCAGCACTCAGCGAAGACGGACAGCGAGTCTGTGAGCGTCACGATCAAGACGCCGGATGGTGGATGCCTTTGCTACGTTGTGCAGACGGGATTCTCGTCCACTCAAGGTAAGCTGATGCGCATGATGGAATTCAGCAGCGAGCAAGTCACGGGCGACGCCAAGGAGACGCTCATTCTTTTGTTCATCCTCCTCGTGTTTGCCTTGGCGGCGAGTTACAACGTCTATGTGCAAGGTGTGAAGGATGGCAAGCGAAGCCAATATGAGCTCGTCCTGCGCTGCATCATGATCATCACGAGCGTTGTGCCCCCTGATCTTCCGATGCAAACTGCTTTGGCCGTGAACACGGCTCTCATCTCGCTGGTTAAGTCCCAAGTTTATTGCACGGAACCCTTCCGAGTTCCCGTGGCTGGTAAAGTAGATTCCTGCTTGTTCGACAAGACGGGGACCATCACGAGCGATCGTCTCGTGGCCGAGGGGATTCTTTGTGATTTGAAGAAGGGAGCCGAGCTCAAAAAGCCGGTTGAGGCGTCGCAAACCGCTTCCATTGTCATCGGTGGTTGCCATGCTCTTCTTCAGATTGATGGAAAGATGTTTGGCGACCCTCTCGAAAAGGCCGCTCTGCTGGGTATCAAGTGGAAGTACGATCCTGCGACTCACACCGCAACACCGAAGATTGATGATAATATCACGAGATCGTGGGGCGGCGAGGATACGACATCGGTGAAAATTTTGGTGCGCAACCACTTTGCGTCGGCTTTGCAGCGCATGAGCATCATCGCTGACGTCAAAAGTCTTTCGATCTCGGGTCGATGGTCTCTGGTGAAAGGATCGCCCGAAATGATCAAAACTCTCCTGAAGAGCGTCCCGGAAGGATATGACGCGGCGTATCGCAGCTTGGCGGAAGAAGGCATGAGAGTCATTGCCCTGGCGCACAGAGAGTTGAGTGAAGACGAAAGCGCTCGAGTCGGTTCGCAAAACTCACCGTTGACGCGCGATGAGGCGGAATCCAACCTAGTTTTCGATGGTTTCTTCGCGTTTGCGTGCAGGGTACGAGCGGATTCCGCAGAAGTCATCCACGCCCTGAAGGCAGCCTCGAACAATGTGATGATGGCGACTGGTGACGCCACTCTCACCGCGCTGCACGTCGGGAATGAAGTCGGTATCGCCCGTGGCGGCCTCGATGGGGCTCTCATCCTGGCCCGCGGCGAATCTGATAAGTTGGAATGGCAGTCTGCGCGCGTAAACGCCAAGGGTCACCCGGAGAAGACGTTCCCGTATGAGAGTTCATCCATTCCTGAACTCGCTGAGAAGTACAGCTTGTGCGTGACTGGAAAAAGCCTTAACGCCGCCGCAGTGGCGCCAGGAGCTTTGTGGGAGAACCTGGATCAGATTAGTATCTATGCTCGTATGTCCCCTGACGATAAGGAACGGGTTCTGAAGAGCTTAAAGACGCAAGGGAAGCACACGCTGATGTGCGGTGACGGAGCGAATGACGTCGGCGCATTGAAGCAGGCGCATGTCGGTGTTGCCCTCTTGAGCGGTTTCGGTAGCGCGAACACGACGAAGGTCGAAGGTGCTGAGACGATGGTGACGACGACCGAAACCTTTGCTGAGAAGATGGCTCGCGTAAAGGAGCAAGCTGAGAAGATGAAGAAGGAGAAGGAAATTGAGAAACAGGCGCAGATGAAGGACAGGGCGGAGTTGCAGGTGCTTCAGACCCAGTGGTACGAGGAAGAACTCGCAGCTCGCACGGCGGCCGGCGAATCCTGGGCTCAATTTAACGCCATGAAGTCGGCGACGCAGCGCTTGGTCGCTGAGGCGAAGCGCAGACAGGCTGCTAGACAGAAGGTTGCGGGCACCGGGCAGTCACTCCAGCAAGTCTGGCAAGAATTGGAAGAGACTGATGGTGAAGTACCAAAGGTCAAGCTCGGCGACGCTTCCATGGCTGCGCCGTTCACGAGCCGCGCACCGAGTATTAAGGCGACGGCGGACATCGTTCGTCAAGGTCGGTGCACGCTCGTGTCGGCCATCCAAATGCAGCAAGTCTTGATGCTGAGTTGCCTCATCTCGGCATACTCGCTCTCTGTGTTGTACTTGGACGGGATTCGCAACAGCGAGAACCAACTCATGGCGTCCGGTACGGCGCTCACTGTGGCCGGTCTCGCGTTTTCGTACGCCACTCCGGTGCACACGTTGAGCTCTGTCCGTCCCCTTAGATCGATCTTCCACCCAGCCAACTTCCTCTCCCTTGTTGGCCAGCTCATCATCCACATCGGCGCAATGGTCTACGCAGTCCACCTGGTCAAGTCTACCACGGGCGAAGAGACTTCTTTCCCGACCCTGGAAAAGGTCGCGGTTGTGAGTGAGGCAGTCAAGAAGGCGGCAAATGAAACGCAGCGAAGTTTCTGGGAGCAGGGTCCTCCGTTTGAGCCGTGCCTTTTGAACACCGTCGTCTTCCTCGTCGACACCGTCCAACGAGTGTGCGTCATGCTCGTGAACTACAAGGGACGTCCCTTCATGCTCGGCGCCCTCGAGAATAAGTCTCTCATCACCTCCATGCTCTCCATGGTCATCGGTTCCTTCGTGTGCGCGTTTGAAGTCGTGCCTTGGTTGAACAACAAGTTGCAGCTTGTTTCAATGCCGGACAACGTGTTCAGATACAAGGTTCTCGGCATCCTCGCCGGTTCAGTCGTTGGTACCATTGGATGGGATTCGCTCATGTCGTTCATCTTCGCCAGACACATTCTCGTCGCTTCATACCGCGATACTATAACCGCGTTACCCAGTTTTCAAGACATGATTCCGTTCATTCGCCGCGGCGTTGCCATCTCAATCTTGTTGGTTGCATACGTCTGGAGCGAAGGAAATGTGTTCATCGCGGTGTTCGGGATCCAGGCGTACAGACGTGGTTACATTTGATGCGTTGGTTAGGACTCTAGACGAACTAATGATTGATTGATTTCTTACTATCATCTACGTAAATACGCCCCCATCTAAGCGACCGTGCGCCTCTTCGATTTCTTCAACTTCTTAGAACGCTTCTTCTTCGGCTTGACGACTTTGTCGGACAACTTCGTCAACGGTTTCCGTCCGAGCGGGGCGCCGCCGAGCAAGGTCCCGAGCTCGAGCCTCCCCGTTGCCACCGCCCCCCCGATCATCGCCACTCCGACCAAGAAGAGCTTGACCAAGTTATTCGACAGCAGCCCGCCGACGCCGCTCCCGTTTCGCCCTGGCGGCGGTCCCCCGCGCTTCCACGCCTCAGGCATCTCCCTCGTCCCGAACGGTCGCTTCGTCCTCTTCTCCACGAGCTGCGCCGCGATATCCGGCCGCATCACGTCCACCTCCTCGGGCGAGTACCCGAGCTCGTTGACGAGCACAGAGCGCTCAGCGCTGGTAATCATGAATTTCACCGAGGATCCCATGGTTGACGGTTGTGTACTTGATGATTTCTCTGTCGTCGCTCCGTGTGTTCGTTCAGTCGCTTGGTGTCAAGGCGACGCGCGCGTGTTACGCGCTACGATGCGCGGCGACGTCGAAGGGTGCGCGTCGTGAGGTGACGAGCGTGGGGACTTCGTCTTCAACGCGGAATAGTTGAAGCGGCTGGCTCCCCGGGCACACGGGTCAGTACAACTTTTGATTTAACGTTACAACAGTAAGAGCGGTGCGTCGAACAGGTATCGATGCGATGGTTTACTTTGTCTTAGACTTCCTGGCGACGAGTCCGCTCGGGCGGGCCGGGTTGGCGCCGCTCACGTGTCTCTTTGCGCGCGGCACGGCGCCGGCTTGCGGCAAACCGGCGGGACGTCTGCGGGAGGCCTTTGAACGCCTAGTTTCGGGAGATGGGGCGGTTTTCTCACCACCGGTCGCAGCCTCGGTCGAGTCGTTCGTCGCGGCGCTGGGCTGGGGATCGGAGACCTTGAACAGGTTCTCCAAAACCTCGTAGTTAATCTTTGAGCTTCCCTTTTTCTTGGACAGTGCCTGGTGCACTGCCTCCGCAGGTGTCTCCGCAGGGGGGACCACCGCCACTTTCTTCTTCCTCTTGCTTGTAGACGGCAGCGTGCGAGCAGGTGTTTGCTCTTTCAGCGCTTGGCCCTCGAGATACTCCTTGTTCAACTCGGCCCAAACGACCCGTCGAAGCTTGACTTCGTTTTCGTCATGAATGTACGAGTCAATCTCGTCATCGTCAACGTCTGACAGCGTGTCGATGTAGTCATCGTTCCGTTTCGGGACCAGACCATCTGCAGTTTCAACGATGGCATTCGCCATCGCGGGATCGAAACGAGTCTTCTCCAGAGCTTTGACGTCGTGCGGCGAATACTTGGCCAAGTGGTCAAGGCCCTCGTCGTCAAAGCACTCAGCGGCGATCAAAAAGTGCAGCACTGGTTCGTCAACTTGCGCGATGCGCTCGCCCTCGTTCTCGGAGAAAGTCTCGTACTTCGGGTGAAGCTCACACATGTGTTCTTTGGAGACTCTACCTCTCGCAAGATCGCTCGTGAACGGCAAACAAACTAATTCTGCCCATCGCGAGCCGACGAGCAAGCGCAAGGATTCCTCCGCACGAAGTAAAAAGCCAGCACCGACGGGCTCGCGGTTACTAACGCTGCCCACTAATCGGTGCGTGTGCGCTGTCGATGCGGACGTCAACGCTAGCTGTTTACGCGAATCGTCTTGCGGGTTGAGCAGCGCGCCGAAGTCGACTTCGAGCGCTGATTTGAACTCTTGAGAAATCTTATCGTCGTCCACCAAATCCTCTGTCGATGGGAGCATGAACGACTCCGACTCGGCTTTTCGAATCGCTTTCGCTCGCATAAACGCCGGTGGATCGGCTCCACCCATCGAACCGCCGGATATCCGAACGTAATCTATATAACACGACCTGCACATCCCATGTGCAAAGTGCGGCGTGTTCTCACTGTCCTTGTGCACGCAGCTAAGCACAGACATCGAACTCGATGGCAGCGATTTCAGTGTTCTATTTGCCTCCTCTTCTATCTCGTACGTTCGCGCCTGCGTATCAAATTCCTCCACGGACAGCGCCGCGCTTGGCGTATTCTCAAACTCAGACAGACGCTTCTTCAGCGTCGCCTCGCCGACGTGCACCACCGCGACGACGTCTCGCTTACTCGGATTGAATCCGTGAATGTGTGCCGCAACCCACAGAGCGGCGCCGCAAATCCCGTTCGGACGCCGTCCCGTCTGCATCCAATCCCTCTTCATCGACGCGACCAGTCTCAGCGCGGTGTTGGCGACGGTGTGCATCCTCCGTCCTAAACTGAGCTTGTCCGCAAACCTGTGAATGAACAGACTCGGATCGATCGGCTTCTGCATCAACGGATGCTGCTCCAGACGCAAGAGTCGACACAGCTGCAAGAACACCGCCCCCAAAACGTACACGTTCGTCTGTAACACGTCCGCGAAGTCTATCAACATGTACGGTCGACTCTCCTGTCGACAGATGATGTACAGACACGCCCCCGCAACTTGACTCACTCGACGCCCCCTGGTAAAGTTTCTCTGCACCGCGAGCTTATACAAACGATGCGCCGCGTCCACGACGTCCTCCCTCGGTCGTATCGCCAACCTATCCGCCACCTGCTTAATCTCCAGTTTCCCTCGGTACAGCGTCCGCTCGTGCGAGTCCAACTGCACGCCGTACAATCGTCCACCTCGACTCGCCCTGATCACTCCGTGCGCGATACCGTTCTCCGGCACGAACATTCCATCCGGCACGCTCGCTCCCTGCGCGTTCTTCGTGAACGTCGTCTCCCCACTGAACACCACGCGTTCGTGTAAGATCTTCCCGCACTGCGTGCAACACGTGAACCCATTCGATTCATTCGTCTCCGCGGCCACTCTTTTCGCGCATCCATCGCACCATCGATGGACCATGTTCCCGCGTCCACCACCACCCCCCGCGCGCGCGCCGAGCGTGCGCGCGCGTCTTCCGCGCGCCCGTCTTCCGCGCGCGTCCGTCGCCCGTCGCGGTCGCGCACTTTTGGTCCGCGTCGCACCTCATGAGACCACTGTTGGTCCGCGTCGCACCTCGTAAGACCTCTTTTGGTCCGCGTCGCACCTCGTGAGACCACGTCGAGGGGCCAGCGTGGACGACGACGACGACGACGGACGACGACGACGACGACGACGGCGGACGACGGACGACGACGCGACGACGACGACGTCCTCGCTTGTGTCCTCGTCCCCGCCCCTGGCGAGCGCGCGCGCACGCGGGGACGAGGAGACGCGCGAGGACGCGTAACCACCCGAGCGATCCGACGCGGACGACCGAGCGCTCGAGGTCGCGCGCGCGCGCGCGCGCTGAGGGGTGACGCGGGCGCGCGGGGGGGGAGATTTGCGCGTGGGACGTTCGGTGATGCTTCGAGCGGAGATGCTGGACGTCGGAATGGATGGAACGGGTGCACGCGCGGCGGCGGCGGCGGCGGATGAGACGCGCGCGGACGCGCGGGGAAAGGGAGAGAACGCGGAGTGTGCGGTCGGCTCGCTCGGGAAGAGTCCGCCGATGGCGAGGAATATATTCGCGGATTTGCAGCGTAGACAGTGGTGCCGGGAACGACAGTCGCCGGAGCGTCGAGGGCACGCGCAGAGCGCGCACGCGGGGGCGACGGCGCTTCGGTGCGGGAATAAGCGCTTCGTGGAGGAACTTCGGTTGACAGAGACGCTGGAGCGACACGGTGGATGCGTGAACTGCGTGAGCTGGAATGATGATGCTTCCTTGTTGATCTCGGGGAGCGATGACATGACGGTGTGCGTTTGGAGCTGCGGGGCGAAGATGCCTCTGAAGGGGTCGGCGTTCACGGGACACGTGCACAACATATTTGCCGCAAAATTTGTGCCGCAGTCCGGCGATGGGTCGTGTGTGACGACATCCGCGGACGGAGACGTGCGTCTCACAGATTTAGAGCGCGGGTTTCGAGGACCGCCTCCGCAGCACTACGGGTATCGCTTGCGAGGGGCGAATCAACCGGCGGCTGAGTGCAGTCGCTCGCTGTGGGCCGGAAGGGGAGCGGGCATGGGGATGGGAATCACCTTTGTCCCGAACGAGCCGAACACGTTCCTATGCGCGCATCAGGACGGACGAATCCGTTTGTTCGATCTTCGACAAAGTCACGGCGGTCTCGGCGGGACATCGCACGAGATCATCGCCGACCTGAGCTCGCACGGGCCAACGTCTGAAATCGTCTTCGATCCAACGTCGCCGACGACGTTTGCGACGTGTTCCGATGACCCTTACGTGCGCATCTTTGACCTGAGACACGTCAACAATAATCGAAGAGAGGCGGCAAGGGAGTTTCCCACGCCTCCGAGTCCTAGCACGTCCCCTACAGGGGAGCCGGCGTTCTCACGCTCGGCTCGTTTGTCGTTGAAACATGACATTCCGTGCGTCATGTTGGTGACTCCGCTAGAGCTGAGCCGCGGCGTTCGCTTCGGCTCGCCGATGGGATTTGAAGGCATCTCAGGGTTGGCGTATTCATCGAAGGGTGAGCTTGCGATTAGCTGTAAGGGTGACGACGTGTACGTCCTGGACACTCGAAAGGCGGCGGCGAGCGCCAACTCTCACTTTCCGCGGGAGGACTTGGAGTCCCGTTCTTTCCCGTTGGCGACATCGTATTCTGTCCCAGTCGTCACCACGCCGGCAAAACGCTACGTCGGGCGCAAGAATGTGAAGACGTTTTTGAAGGGCGTCGCGTTCATGTGCGACGATGAGTACGTCACCACTGGCGGCGACGACGGAAATGTGTACGTCTGGCACAAGGACTCCGGTGAGCTCGTACGTAAGTTTCAAGCGGACAGCTCGGTCGTGAACACCGTCTTGCCGCATCCGCATTTACCCACAATGGTTTGCTGTGGCATAGATAACCACGTCCGCGTCTTTGAAGCGGGTGATGGTGGCGTTCATCTGGGTACGCCCCCAAAGCGCGATGACAACGATGCCTGGTTCGATGAAGAAGACGAGGAGGAAGACGACGAAGACGACCAAGATGACGACTCGGATGAGGAAGAAGAAGACTCAGAGGAAGATACAGACGACGCAATTCTCGCGCGTTGGGCGACGCGAGTTATCGCTCAGTCTAACGAAGACCTTCCAGATGACGAAGACGACGAAGACTTTGAGCCCATGCAGGCTTGAAAAAGCTCTCAGCCGCGCGTCAATCCGAGCGCCGAAAGGCGCTGCGCGCGCGCGGCGCCCTGTATAGAACCACAAATTCTTTTCTGTTTTATGGCTACACATCTTTTTTTGTAATTAACAACGCTATTTCAAAAAGCGCAAGACGACCACCGTCACGACGCCCGCGATGACAAGAAACAGCAAGAGCATGATGCACTTGTCCGTGGCCAGCCCTCGCGTCATGTCCTTGATTACCGCGAACGATTTTTTCAGTGAAAAGTGAATTTCATCGAGATCGTCCACGATGCGCTCTAACTGCGTCGTCTGACCGCGCAGTGCCTCAGCCGTCAGCGCGCCAATTTGAATTGTCTCTTCAACTACTGCCTCGCTTCGCATGATGCTCTGGTCCGTCTGGTCCATCACATTCCTTCCGTGCTGGATCAAATCACCAGCCTCCATCTGCATCAACTGCTCGTCCTCTAAGATGATATCCTTATTTTTAGGCTTAAACGCCGGCAACGCGAACGCCGTGGACGTCGACGCCGACGCTCCCGAGGCTGTCGCGGCAGGCCGCTCGGACGTCGCCGAAGACGATCCCCGCGCGCTCTCCTCCGACTGCGCCGCGTTTGCCCGAGCCGTGAGCTTTGTCTGCTCCTCCTTCTTCATCTGCACAAAATTATTTAACTTGGACACGTACTGCTTCTTCATGCTCGCCAAACTCTCCGCGTCCATTGACCCCTCGCTCAGCGCCACGCGCTCGTATTCCTTGATCAACTTCTTCGTGTCCGCCATCTTATTCGTCAGCTTCTTCAGGTGCTGCGTCGACATCGCGACGTCGGGATTATCCAAGACATCTCGTCTTTTAAACCCATCCCTGTGTCGATCGAAAAACCGCCGCGCATTTCGTCAGTCTCCTCCGTCCCGCTCCTTTGCCCGCGCGCGCCAACTCCGTTCGCCGCGTTCGCGCAATCATCCAACGCCTTCGCGTGCGCGACGCACTCTAACTCGGCGAACGCCGTTCGAAGTCGATCACTCAGCGCGCGCGCGGACGCCATGTTCGTCGACGTATGCGTCGTCGTCGTCGCGCGGACGCGAGCGTTTTAAACGAATGCGATGAATGCCCGAACGCGCCACGTGCGATCGATCTCTCGTCCGCGTCCACCGACGCCCCGCTCGCGCGATCCCACGCGCGCGCGCACGTCGACGCGACAACCGCGCCCGGGTGTCTCACGAACGCGCGCGAGGACTCGTCGATCGAGCGAACCGACGCGGCGCGGTGTGCGGGTCGTAGACGGAACGCCCCGCGCGCGCGTCCGCGCGCGAGGCGCAAAAATACATTAACAACGCGTCTCCCGAGACGCCCTCGCCGTCGTCCCCGACCGAGGCGCTAAAATAATCCAAAGAGTTTCTTCCTCGGCGTCTCTTCCTTTTCGCTCGACCGCGTCTTCGCCGGCGTCTTCCCCGGCGTCTTCGCCGGCGTCTTCGACCCGCCCGGCGTCGTCCGCCCCGCCCTCGACGGCACGCTCGCGATCGTGCGCTGAGACTCCCGTCGTCCACCGAACGTAAACTTTCCCTTCGTCTCGCTCGCCCGTCGCTTATTCTCCGCGATCTTCGCCGCTTTCGCCGCTTGAATCTTCTTGATCGTCTCCGCGTCGATGTTCGGGCCGAAACCACCCAACGCGCGCGTGTGCGTTCGCGATCGATCGCCCGTCTCTCGCGCGCGAGCGACGCGGCGGTCCGTCACGGGCGCGATCGCGATCGATCGCGCGAAGGCGAGCGCGCGCGCGGGCATCGAGCGCGCGGGCGTGCGACGAATGACGATGGTTGACGTCGATGATGGATGCGATGATGGATGCGTCGACGCGCGCGTCACACGGACGCGGTCGAGGGCGTCGATGGCGGTGCGATGGGCGAGGCGTCGACGTCGATGACGGACGCGCGCGCGGGGGACGAACGGGGACGACGGGCGACGGGGAGGGCGTCGAACGCGCGCATGGGCTCGGGACGATGGAGACACGGCGCGAGGACGGCGCTGGGAGCGCTCGCGAGCGCGTCGGTGACGATGTTCTCGGGTGGTTCGGCGATGATGGCGGTGCTGACGGTGGGGGGGGCGACGACGTACGTTCTGGACGTGTCGGAGAGCGCGGAGGGGGCGCTGGGGACGATTTGGCTCACCGCGGCGTGCGCGTGCGGGACGCTGGGGGCGAACGGGAGTTGGATCGGCGCGACGTCGTTCGCGTCCTCTGTGGGGTTGTTCGTGGCGAACACGGCGAGTTTAGTGACGTTTTGTTTGTGGTGCACGATGCACTTTCGATGGATCGTGATCGAACATCCGGGAACGGCGGCGGCGTGCGAGCGCGCGCTCTTCGCGCTGTGTCCGCCGGTAACGGGGGCGGTGCTCACGTGGGCGTTCGCATCCACCAGCGCCGGGGCGGAGGGGGCGGCCTTCTACGGTGTAGTGGTGTGTCTGATCGCGCACAGGTTGTTTTTGTTTCCCATCGAGTCCGGATGCGCGCTCGCCGCAACCGACGGTCAAGCGAAGACGGAGCGCAGGCGAAGCATCTTGACCGAAGACGACGCAAAGATCTCCACCGTGGTGACGCTGACGCTTCCGGTGTTGGCGTATCTATGGACAACCATCGATATTCTCTTTGAATCGATCGATCACGCGTTTGCGTGCATCGCACTCGTGACGATTCCGGTGCTATATTTAATCGGTACGGGCACCAGGCGATCGTTGTGGTGGTGGCGACGAGCTCAGGAGCCGGAGATGAAGAAGACTGAAATGTTCGTTCTTCTCCTGGCTCTCATGGGATTCGCCGTGAGCTTAGAGGGTACATTGGTATTCGGCGAGTTCGGCGAGTATATCGAGTTACCGGCCCCTTTGAAGTACATTATGGTTGCAGTCTCGGTGAACTGCGCTCTGGTGGTGTTCGTCGTGTGCAACACTAATTCTATCGGCGAAATGGTGCCGCTGAGTGCGGTACAGGTCGTGTTGGCGGTAGCGACGACGACTGCAATCTGTGCAATGGGTGCGCCGATTTGGATGCTTCCCGTTCCCGTCGCTGGATCTCGGGCGTTCATGAAGTATCATTACGAGGACGGATCGCCAACGGATTATGGTACCTTCGCTGTGAGTTGCGTCGGGTGCTTTGTATGGTTTCTTGCGAAGAACTTTTGGAGTTTAGATGTCGAAGTAGGTTCTATTCATATAACGTCGCTGTGTTACGCCGTTTTAGCACTCGCTGTGATGGCGTTGGGATTACCCTTCGCCCTGAGCACGAAGAGTTTCAGCCACACTGGAGTCGGTTCTCTCGTCGTGGGATACGTCGTGGCACTCGCAGTCGTGGAACAAATTCTTGTTCAAGTGACACACGAGGACGGTTCACTGATTTATCCACCGTATCTAGTCATATCAACATCTGTTTGCGGCGTGTTGGCGAGTAAAAGCCTCGTCATTAGCGGTCGCATGAGCCGAAAATTTGGGTGGATGGTTCAGAGTTCGAGCGCCGCAAAGTTATCAATGCTCTTCGTTCATGGCCCGATGGAGATGTTCAGCGTTCTCATCGTGGTTCTAACGATCAGCGCCCCGCACATACTCGTGCATCGCACAAAGTCTCTGAGTGCGGGAGATTGCATAAACTATTGCGTGATATTGGTGGTCTCTTTGCTGTTTGCACGGTTTGCGATGTTCGAAATAATTTTTGAAATCACTGGTCACCGGCCGACTGATGCGACGCTCTTCGGCGGACTCCTCCTCATCACCGGGGCGAGTTTGGCGCGCCTATCGACGCATCATAACTTTCGCGACGATGATATCGGTAGGCGCTTTCTCGTGATGATCATCTTTTTCGGCTGCTTCCTGGTCACTTTTCGACCTCCCATGCCTTGGAAGGGCGAGGTGGGCATGTGGTACGACGCCGCTCACGTACCCGATTCCGAAGAAGACGATGCGAGACTGTACGGTATCAGAAAGGGTAAGCATCACGGTTGGCCGAGCTGGTTGTTGATGCTAGCCGCGCTCACGGCTATGTTCTCGGTATCATCCCCGCGCAAACAAACCAAAGCAGTGTCAACAATTCGCATAATATTTGGCGCTGTTTGCGGCGGAAGCGTCGGGCTATACATGGCGCTAGAATACTTCGCCGAGCAATGGGCGTTGGATGTATTCTTGTTTATGGCGTGTGCTTTGGTCGGAGTGTTTTTATCGTTCGCGTACACCCCTTCGGCGACGTCTTCACGTTGGCTCCCATACGTGTACACGGCTTACGTCTGTGCGTTGAGCTGTGCGTTTGTCACGCAGACGGGCGGCTCGACCGTCGAAGAACGAGAGCAAAGACTTGATGGAAAGTATGGTGTTATTAGTGTTTTCGCCGGGGCGTCGCTTCAAATCGCGTTCGCGCTCAAGTTCCAGGTATACTCGAGCTTGGAGAGCACTCGACAGCGCCAGCGGCGCAGGAGCCGTGCGTCGCCGTTTCTCCCCGCCACGGGCAGAAGCCGCCCTGAATATTTCCGTGGCGTCGCGAGCAGGAATGAACATAGGGAGCTCAAAGTACGATCGCTGGCGTGGATGCCAATTATCGGGAACATCGCCACACTCACCTCTTTTGCCGCTTGCGTGGTGCTCGCCGATGAGCTGACAGGAGCTTCAATTTTTTCAGTCTTTGTGCTAGCTCCCATTCTGCTTCTCCTGCATCAAGACTCGGTGATGTTCCCGACGTTGGACGAACATCAAAGGTACGCTCCACCGATGGCCGTGATCGTGGGCAAGCTATGCTACGACGGCGTGCTCGCCGTGCTCGCCGGTCCGAATAAAGTTCACGTCCTCACCGCCTCTGCGTCCAAGCTCCCTTGGATGATGGTCAACGCGACGAGTCTATTCCTCGCCTCGATGAGCAGCATGAACCTCATTCACTACCTCGCCACGAGCGTTCGAACGTCTGGAATGACGCTCGTCCTCACGGCGCCGCTCGCCGTGGTTCCTCCGTTTCTCTCAAAGCTCTCCGCCGTGCGCGCGTTGTCCGCGGTCAGCGTCCTCGCTCTCGTTCTCCAGGACTTCCTTCAACGCCGGGCGAAGATCGCCGGGTTAAAGTATTTGTAAGCGATAGGATTTGTAATCACCCATTCGGTGATTCCATCGACCCGTCGTGCGCTCGCGTGGACCCGCGCGCCGTCCGCGCGCGCGGCCACCATCCATGGACAAATCATCGAGTCATGACTCGTCTAGGGTTTAGCCACAGGCTCGGTCCACCCCGCGCGCGCGATCGCGCGCCCCCCGAACGCGCCGAGCCCGCCCCGATGACCCTCGCCTCGTCGTCCCCGCGCGTCGCCGACGCCGCACTTCACCGAGCGTCGACCGGTCGAACGCGCGAACGAGAGCGACCGACGGGCGCGCGAACGCGAACGCGCGCGACGTCGAGCGCCGCGTCCGTACGTCGTCGAACGCAGACGCCAGGGCGAACCTAGGGTCTCCGCGATTCGAACGTCACTCGTTCGAACGACTCGAGAGCGACTTGAGCGAGGGTAAAGCCGGGAGAGATGCCGAAGAGCAACGCCAAGGGTAAGGGCGGGAAGAACCGCCGACGCGGGAAGGGCGACGGCGGAGATGAGAAACGAGAGCTCATCTTCAAGGAGGATGGTCAAGAGTACGCGCAGGTGCTCCGCATGCTCGGAAACGGGCGCTTAGAGGCGCAGTGCATCGACGGGGTGAAGCGGTTGTGTCACATTCGCGGTAAAATGCGCAAGAAGGTGTGGGTGAACACCGGGGACATCGTCCTCCTGGGCTTGCGGGACTTCCAGGATGAAAAGGCGGATGTCATCTTGAAATACTTGGCCGATGAAGCGCGCTCCTTGAAGGCGTACGGCGAACTTCCGGAGACGTTCCGCGTGAACGATACGGACGGTTTCGAAGAAGAGCGAGACGAAAACGACGACTTCTTCGATTTCGATGACATCAACGACATCTAAACAATTTCCTAGTACTACTACCGACGTTTTTAGCTCTCCATACGGCTGAGTGAGTTAGTTGTTCGATACGATCTGAGTCAATCCAGCCGCATCTCCTCCTCGTAAAGGTTTGCATAAAATCGTATTTGCGTTGGCCCGTCGTCTCGACACAAAATTCCTCGCGATTCCGCCATGCGCAAATACTCGAGCGCGATTTCCGGCGTGGTCTCCAGTGTTTGCGCCGCCTCGTACGCGTCGAGAGAACTCTCTGGCGTGGGTAAAAGGGCCTTAATTCGCGCACACGCCTCGTCATCAGTGCGTTCTGTCGTGTGGATCACTTTCACCCCGTTCTCGAACTCGCGCAGGTGTACGTCGAACGCTTGAGATTCCCACGATTCGCACGCGCGCAACATATCTTGCGGCGAAACAACCTCCACTCCTCGCGCTCGATTGAATAAACAGAACGCATCCGTCAATGTAATGATGCCATTCGACGAATCTAACACTGGTTTGATCCAGCGCGCGAGCTGTGCGCCCAGTTCTCGATGAAACTCTGCTCCGGATCCGGCGCGCGTCACCGGACTCTTGATTCCGAGACTGAGCACCAACCGCTGCAACTCCGATTCAGTCCCGCTCTTCTTCTCCGTGCTCGTCGCGAGACGCTCGGCCAGGGCGACCATATCACTAGCCTTCGCCATGAGGGACTCGAGGTCGGAAAACGCCTCGTCCATCGTCCTCTGAGTCTCCGCCGCGCGCTCCAGTTGACGATTCACCGCGCCGCCAACGCCCGCCGTCGCCGCCGACGCCCCGCTCGCCCTGCGCCTGATGTCCGCCTCGCTCGTCCCACCGATCGGTCGCATCTCTCGCCTTCGTTCCGCCATCCCTCGCTCCACGGCATCGCAAAAAACGTCGCCTTCCCTCCCTCCGATCGTCGCCTCGGCCCATCGCCCGTCCCGCGTCGTCAACCGAATCGTCACCCGCCCCCCTCCGAACACCCTCGAGAGCGTCGACCGTCCGTCTCCACCCCGCGCGCACGCCCGAACGTCATCGTACGTCATCTCAATCATCCCCTCGTCCTCGGTCGCCGCCGTCCTCGGTCGCCGCCCCCCGCTCGCCTCGACGATGAACCGACGCGTCGTCGCCACGCATCGCCGCCGACCCAATCCTCGTCCGTTTCCGCCCTCCTCCTCCCCGACCGCGACGACCGCGGTCGCGCGCGCGAGCTCGATCTCCGTCTCCTCGACCGCGCTCGCGCCCGGGCGTCGGTCGTCCGTCATCGACGCCTGGACGCGACCTCGCGCGAGCTCGCGTCCGCCGATCGAGACCATCGTCGAGACCGTCGAGACCATCGACCGGGACCATCGACCGGGACGATCGACCGGGACCATCGACCGGTCGAGACCATCGATCGATCGAGACCATGGAGACCATCGACCGGTCGAGACCATGGAGACGATCGAGACCATGGAGACCATCGATCGGTCGAGACCATGGAGACGATCGAGACCATGGAGACCATCGATCGATCGAGACCGGTCGAGACCATGGAGACCATGGAGACCATGGAGACGCGCGATCACCCCCGTCGACGCCGTCGATCGATCGATCGATGGGTGAGGACGACGGCGACGTCATCGGACGACGCGACCATGTTCGCGCGCGCGCGAGCGATGACGACCGCGCGCGCGCGACCGTGGGGGTGTCGACGACGGTACTCGGGCGGGGGCGTCCGCGCGGGGGGGGGGGGCGCGCGCGTGGACGCCCACGGGGCGCCAGCGCGGGCGAGCGCGGCGTACGCCAGGCCGGAGCGCATCGCGGGGGTGAAGGGACGGGACGGCGGCGCGTCGAGGATCGGAGAGACGCTGGAGCTGCGAGGATGGGCGCGAAGCGTTCGAACGCAAAAGGGCATGGCGTTCATCGATCTGAACGACGGGAGCGCGATGACGGGAATGCAAGCCGTCGTGAGCGAAGGGAGCGGGGCGTGGGCGCTCGCGAACAGCGGCGCGTGCGCCACGGGGGCGGCTTTGCGGGTGAAGGGACGATTGGTGACGAGTCCTGGAGGGAAACAAGCGGCTGAACTCGCCGTTGACGAGCTCGAGATCATCGGTGGGGCCGATCCGGAGACGTACCCGTTGCAGAAGAAGCGACACACGCTGGAATACCTCCGAAGCATTGCGCACTTACGACCGCGGACGAATACCATCGGAGCCGTGGCGCGCGTTCGAAACGAGTTGGCGTACGCCACGCACAATTTTTTCCAACAAAATGGATTCCTGTACGTGCACACGCCCATCATCACCGCCTCCGATTGCGAGGGTGCTGGTGAACAATTCCAAGTGACGACGCTCCTGAGCGGCCTCGACGCCGGCTCAGCGACGACTCCGGGAGCGGTGCAAGCCGCGGAGGTCGCGGTGAAGGCGCAAGGCGATGCGGTGAAGGCGATGAAGGCGGGTGGAGACGTTAACAAGGAGACTTTGCTCGAGGAGGTGGAAAAACTCAAGGCTCTCAAGGCTGAATTGGAGGCTCTCAGCGCCTCGACCGGGATTCCCACGAACAAGGACGGCTCCGTCGACTACACCCAGGATTTCTTCGGCAAGCGTTCGTACTTGACCGTTTCAGGACAACTCAACGGCGAAATCATGGCTTGCGCGGTGAACGACGTGTACACTTTCGGTCCGACGTTCCGGGCCGAGAATAGTAACACCTCTCGTCACTTGGCTGAGTTCTGGATGGTCGAGCCCGAGCTCGCGTTCGCCGACTTGAAGGACGATATGGACTGCGCCGAGGCGTACTTGAAGTACTGCCTCAATCACGTTCTCGAACACTGCGATGAGGATCTAGCGTTCTTCGAGGCGAACATTTCCAAAGACAACCTTCGCGAGCGCCTTCGCAACGTTGCTTCGCAAGAGTTTGTCCGCATCACGTACACGGAAGCTGTCGAGCACATCCAAAAGGCGACGAAGAAGTTCGAGTTCCCGTGCGAGTGGGGGTCGGATCTTCAGAGTGAACATGAGAGGTACATTTCGGAAGAGGTTTTCAAGGATCGGCCCGTCATCGTGCGCGACTACCCGAAGGATATCAAGGCGTTCTACATGCGCTTGAACGACGACAACAAAACCGTCGCGGCGATGGATGTACTCGTTCCTCGAGTGGGCGAACTCATGGGGGGAAGCCAAAGAGAAGAGCGACTCGATGTGTTGGAGCGCAGAATCGAAGAAAACGGCCTGGAGAAGGAGGCGTATTGGTGGTACTTGGATTTGAGGCGATACGGGTCGCAGCCGCACGCAGGTTTCGGCCTCGGCTTCGAACGCCTCGTGCAATACGTCACCGGTGTTGAAAACATTCGCGACGCGATTCCTTTCCCCCGTTACCCGGGTAGCGCCGAATTCTAGGTTGAACTGCTAGGTTGTAACTAAAATAATCTATTCGCTATAAATACTCAACTATTGCGCCTCTAGTATGTTCCGCATGGCTCTGAACGTGTATAGCGATCCGGTCACGACGACAACCGCGTCGGGGTCATCCTTCGCACCCGCCAACGCGACCTCCAACGCCTCGTCAAATTCGGCTACAATTTCGGGCGGCGGATCGTAATTTTGATGCCCTCCTTGCAATGCAGTCGCGAGGTCTTTCGCCGGAGTCGTTCTAGATGATCCGCCAGCGACTTGCATTTGTGTACAGATGACAGCGAGAGGATTTGACTTGTACAGCTCCTCAAGAAAACCCTTGTGATCCTTATCGTCCGCCATACCTACGACGAATACCACTTTACGGCGCGGAAAGATCTCTCCGAGCGTTTTCACGAGCATTTCGGCCGAGGCTTTGGTGTGTGCACCATCTGCGATCACACTCATACCGTCCACATCGAACATTTCAAAGTTTCCGGGACTGCGAGTTGATTCCAAACCTGTTCGAATGTCCTCTAACGACACGTCAATTTTACCCTGCCCACGAAGCCACCATAAAACACGAACCGCAAGATCTACGTTTTCGCGTTGGTGCGGCCCGACGAGAGGTATGACAACTCCTTCGAGCCTCGCCTCGAGCACGCCGTCGACGCTGATATCGATGTCTACTTCTTGCGACGGCCCAAAAGTTGACACGCGATACCCAAAAAGCCTCACATCAGCGCTCACGGTGTCGATGATATTTGCCCCTCGTTGTTTCAACGCACGCCGCAGCATTTGTGTAATTTTATCATCCGCGTTCGGGGCGTAAAATACCGGTCGCCCCTCGTGAGCGATCCCAGCTTTAGCATCGACAATCGTATCGATGGACCCCCCTAGCGCCGCTAGATGCTCCTCACCGATGTGTGTGATCACCGCAGCCTCTAAATTCTCTGGACGTAAAACGTTCGTCGCGTCCCTACTCCCCCCAAGGCCGACCTCGACGAGAGCTAAATCGACTTTGGCCTTCTTGAAGTACGCAAAGGCCAACGCTGTGAGCACTTCAAAGTACGATAGTTGACCATCTTCACGCTTTTGTGCCGCCTTTATCTCCGTCTCGACCCCGTTCAACAAGTTCAGCACCTCTGTCGATGCGTCTTCATCCGAGCTTCGAATCCGTTCCGCCACCGTGTACACGTGCGGGCTCTTGTACGTCCCGACGCGCTTCCCGGCGCTACGTAAGACGCTTGCGAGCACCGACAGCGTCGTTCCCTTGCCCTTCGTTCCGCTCACGTGCACGGTGGTGTACGCGACGTGCGGATCCCCAAAGTCTTTCAACAGCCTGTGCATGCGACCGAGATCGAATCCGTCCGTCGTGTTCGTCCCGGCGCCGCGAGGGACGCCGCTTCGTTCGTGATTGACGAAATCTCTCAAGCACTCGTCCACGGACGCGAACGAGGTCAATGGTCGACGAAGGGTGCTACACGGAGGAACACGCTCGGCGAGCATCCTAGCGACAAAGTGACAGGCGCGATCGCGCGTGAGTCGCCGCATCAGAGACGACCGCGCCGGCGCGCGGCGCGACGCGGTGTGACGCGTCGCGCGCGGCGACAAATCACTCCGGTTCGAGCGCAAATAAATCTAAGCGTGTACGTTAAAAACCTAAAACGCATCGCTCGCCGGCGATACGCGATGCGCGCGACCCTAACGCGGAGGAGTCGGCGACTTTTCCAATACCACCCCTCCGATGTCAATAACACCGCTTCCGCGCGGCCCCTTGATTGTTTGCCTAACGTTATCTGCTATCCGAGGATCTAAACCCGCGCCGTCGGCGCAAACCACTCGCTTGGACTTGGTCTCTTCCGATCCCGCGGTGCGGAGGTCCCCCCAATACTCCTTATCTCCCGGTCCGCTCGCCTCGCCAAAGTTGACGTACACCGGGCTGTCAAACAACTCCGGGTAGGTCGCCAATAGCTCTCTCTCGGCGTATCTCAGCGTATCCAACACCAGTGGTAACTTTTGCCGAAACACGACCGCACGAAAGGGCGCCGCCCATCGTATCCACCACGCCTCATTCGCGCTCACTTGACAGAAGACGTGCAACCCGTCCTCTCTCCACTCGGCGAGAACCTCGTCTCTGAGGAGTCGCGTGTACCAAACGGACGTCTGCTCATCGTTGAATGTCGTGCCCACCGTGAGAGTCAGATTTCGCGTGACGTCGTTATGCGTCAGCGTGTACCTTCTCTGTAGTAAAGACTCCGGTTCTACCTCGGTCGACGTCGCGTCGAACGACACCGACACTCTATCGGGGTCAAACTTGAGCGCGTCGAACACCGCGCTCGTCACCGCCTGGGATCGAAAAATGAGTCTCGTCAGTCACCAATCGTTCATCGTCATCGTCTTTCACCGCATCGTCGCGTCGATCTCCCTCTTCATCGCCCATTCGCTCGTCAAACTCGGTTCGCGTCTGTCTTCGCGCGCGTCTCGTCGCGCCCCTCGTCGCTCCGCGCGGATCTCTCTTCTCGTCGTCGACGCACCCTTCGTCCGCTTCTTCTCGCCCGTCGTCCTCCCCCGAGATCCCGCCTCGATCGCGCGCCGCCCCTTCCTCGATCACCGTCGTGAAACGTCCGCGCCGTGGACGCCCTCGACGACGTCGTCGCCCTATCCATCCCGTCGCCCTCCACTGGCTCGGGATGTGTCCTCGTGCGCAATTCGCCTCTCGATCGATCTCGATCGCGCGATCGTCCTCACGGGGCTCTCAAGCGCGATCACGTCCGCGTCGTCGGCGTCGCGCGCACCGACGCCTCGATCGCGCGCGCGACCGTGCGCCGCGCGGTGTCGCCCGACGCGCGCGCGACGCCGACGCCCACGACCGCGCGTCCACCGCGATCGATCGTGATCGATGACGACCGATCGATCGTGATCGATGACGATCGATCATCACCGACCATCATCGACCGCGACCGATCGATCGTGATCGACCGCGTGACCGATCATTACCGATCGATCGTGATCGATGATGACCGACCGCGATCGACCGTGATCGATCACCATCGACGTGATCCACCGCGCGTCGCTCGCGACAGACGCGCTCGGGCGACGAACGCGCTCGGACGACGAGGCGGTGGATCCACGCGGACGACGGGAACGAGGTGCGCGCTCGAGCGCGATCGAGTGGCGATGTACCTCGGACGCGGCCGTCTCGAGAGCGGGACGACGCGAGGGATGATGCGGACGCACGCGCGGCGACCGTCGACGACGTCGAATCCGTGCGCGCGGTCACGCGTGCGTAAGACGACGGAGCGATCGCTCGCGCGAGTGCGACGATCGACGAGTGAGAAGGGAAGCGCGCTCGTGCTCGAGCGAGAGAGCGAACGGGAGAAGGAGGAGGGAGGGAAAGCGCGAGCGGAGGGATTGCGATTCCAACGCCCGGACGTCGCCGCGCCGGGGGGAGCGGATCCTTGGAACGACGAGAAGTGGACAAAGACCAAGTGGACGGTATTCAGAGACGTCGCGTACGATCTCGATCCTTTCTTCGCTCGACACCCCGGAGGAGACTGGCTCCTGAACTTGGCCGTGGGACGAGACTGCACCGCGCTCATCGAATCCTATCACTTGCGACCAGAGGTGGCGACGGCTCGTTTCAGAATGCTGCCCAAACTCGAGGATTTTCCCGTCGAGGCCGTGCCCAAGTCCCCGAGACCGAACGATTCGCCGTTATACAACAACATTCGCAACCGAGTCCGCGAAGAGCTCTTCCCAGAGGAGGGAAAGAATATGCACAGACAGGGCGGCGACCACGCGACGGTGACGATTCTGGGTTTCGCCGCCTTTGCTTATGCCGTGTACTATTCCCTTCCGGGGTTCCTTTCCGGCTGCCTCCTCGGTCTCGCGGGGGCGTGGATTGGTCTCACGATTCAGCACTGCGCCAACCACGGCGCGATGTCTCCTTCGCCGGCCGTTAACGGCGTCCTCGGTTTGACGAACGATCTCATCGGCGGCTCGTCCTTGATGTGGAGATATCACCACCAAGTCAGCCACCACATTCATTGCAACGACAACGCCATGGATCAAGACGTGTACACGGCGATGCCATTATTGCGTTTCGACGCTCGCCGGCCCAAGTCCTGGTACCATCGCTTCCAGCAGTGGTACATGTTTTTAGCGTTCCCGTTGTTGCAGGTTGCCTTCCAAGTCGGAGACATTGCCGCACTGTTCACGCGTGATACCGAAGGCGCTAAGCTTCACGGGGCGACGACGTGGGAGCTTACCACGGTTGTCCTCGGTAAGATTGTGCACTTCGGTCTTTTGTTGGGGCCGTTGATGAACCACGCGGTGAGTTCTGTTTTGCTGGGGATCGTCGGTTTCATGGCGTGCCAAGGTATAGTTCTGGCGTGCACGTTTGCTGTGAGTCACAATGTCGCGGAGGCGAAGATACCTGAGGACACCGGAGGAGAAGCCTGGGAGAGAGATTGGGGTGTCCAGCAGTTGGTGACTAGCGCCGACTGGGGTGGAAAGATAGGTAACTTCTTCACGGGTGGCCTCAACTTGCAAGTTGAGCACCACTTGTTTCCGGCGATTTGCTTCGTCCACTACCCGGACATCGCGAAGATCGTGAAGGAAGAAGCGGCCAAGCTCAACATCCCTTACGCGTCTTACAGGACTCTTCCTGGTATTTTCGTCCAATTCTGGAGATTTATGAAGGACATGGGCACGGCTGAGCAAATTGGTGAAGTTCCATTGCCGAAGATTCCCAACCCGCAGCTCGCGCCGAAGCTCGCTTAGGAGCGTACGAACGAAGATTATGATTTGTGATTTTACTCAGCTTAAAACAACCAATTCTATAGATTCGCGCTAGACTATGCTACTAATTCGACTCTCGCTACACGTTGATGTGAATTCGTAAATCGAGCAACTCCCGTTCGGCGTTCATTCGGTTGAAGACTTGACCAACCGGGACCGGTTCGGGCGGCGCTTCGCCTTCCTCGTACGCGTCATAGCTTTGCACATTTCCATCGGGGCCGGCATACGCGCCATCGACGTACGAATGACAGTTGTGCAAGCCGGAGTCGGACAACAACTGCTTAGCCCAAGCCGCAGCACTCGCGCTTCGACTGTGTAAGAGGATCAAATTATCCGCCGTAGGCTTGTGAAATCGAAACATTCGCACCCATTCTTCCTCTGTCATGCCCAGTGCCTTCGGAAGCTGATCCACCGGGACGTGCGTCGATCCCTCGAGTGTCCCATACAGGGCTCGCTCATCAAACCGGCGAATGTCCAAAATCACTAAACCGAGCAGGTTACCGTCATCTCTCACAGTTTCCATCAGGAGTGAGACTGCGTCTAAGCTCATCGAGCCTTCTTTCGCTGGCGAGATCGCGTCGTTCTCCTCGAAGTGTGCCAGCGGTACCGCCGCCGCGAGACCGCCATCCACGACGGAGCACCTGGTGAAGCCTAGACTCGTCGCGAGTGCCGCCGCGTGAGATGAACTGTGTCCGTGGGTGCTGACAAAAATGAGCGTCGTTTTCAAGCTCGGCACAGGGACGTTTGGAAATTTCTTCGCCCACAGCATCGATCGGTTGCGCAGAAGATTGGCCAACTCCTCTGGTAGGATGTGGGTCACGTTGAGCCGTTCGCTGAGCTTGGATACCGCGCCTCCGTCCTCCTTGCTCGCCGGTCTGACATCTAGAAGGACGTATGGCACGGGATTCGTTTGCACTAACATCCAAAACGCCTTGGCGCTCAGTACGCCGTACGTCTGCTTGTTCAGCTTCACCGTGGGCGTCGCGTTCGCGGTCGTTCGTTGCCTCGCTCGATCTCTGTGTTTGGCGCTCCGTAACACGCGCACGGACCAGGCGATGAGGGAGAGACACACCGCGGTGGTGAGCGAACCACCCACGTTGGTGACGTGCATCGTTCGTTCGCGCGCCTCGCTCGACGACGCGCTCTGACGCTTCGGTGAAGAGGAGCTCGAGGAAACGAACCAAGAGCGAGTCGAACGAAGACGCCCGGGCGATGTTTCCGCGCGGGACCGAGGCTGGGACTAAACCCTACAGAGACTCATTAATGAGTCACAACCCCTGAATGTTCGAACGAGCTCGTTTCCGACCACCGACCACCGCCCTTCAACCGCTCCGCGGTCTCGACATCGCGACGAGCGCGAGCGCTGACGCGCGCGAGGTCGCGGGCGAAAACGTTCGTCACCATGCGCTCGGTTTCGACGGCGTGCTCGCTCGGGGCGTGCGCGGGAACCCGCAATCATTCGAGACGGCGCGCACCATCGACGAGGAGGTTACAAGCGATTCGAGGAGTGGACGGGTCCGACGGAGTCGTCGATGTGGCGCGAAAGGGCGTGGAAACGTTCTTACAACGGGTGCGTCGTCGATGTCGCGAAATTTTGAGCGACGCGCGATCGATTTGGTCGACAAGGAGACGTTTAACCGTCCCCAAGCGTGAACGACTTCAACTCTGTTTGGGAAGAAACAACAACTCGCTCCGACGCGAAGATGGTGTCTGACCACGCTTTTTTCGTTCGCAGGCGTCGAAGGCATTGCCCATCATGCTTGGACGCGAAGATGATGTCATCTTCGCTCGAGGTAACGCCCCTCAGGTGGTTGAGAAGACGGGTTCGGGTGAGCGAACCGTCGAGCTCACGCGAGCTCGAGTGGAAAGCTTGCTCAAGCCCGACGCGGGGAGGGATGATATCTTCCAAGCCGCGGGTCAAGGTTTAACCGGTGTTCCGGGTGATCTCGTCCAGGTCGGCTGGTGGGATACGCGTAGCCGACTCGAAGCATCACCGGAACTTGAGCTGCAAGCTCTTAACGACAGTTCCAGGGCTCAACTTATCGGAGCAGTTCTCTTGGCGCTGAAAGAGGCGCTGGAGAACATCGAAGAGAACGGAGGGAGCTTGCGTGAGCTCATTAAAAGGGTGGCTCGCGTATCCGCGAACGATTGGATGCGCTCGATGTCACTCGATGTCGGAGCGGAGGAGCGATGTGCTCGAGTGGTGAGCCTTGCAGGAGACGCCGCAGATGAAAAAATTTGGCAGAACGGTGAGAGTTATCTATCGTCTTCTTTCTCATCGACCGATCTGACCGTTTTTCGAAGGAGATGTAGTCGAGGGGAGCAAAGTGGCGCTTTACGCGGGTGTTCTAATGTATTTGGCCAGGGTGCGTACTTCGTTGTGCAGTCGTGTACCTGTCAATTATTATTTATTTATTTATTTATTATTTATTCTGATTTATTTAAACGCCGCAGAAGTCCGAGGTATCTGACGATAAAGTTGACTACGTCGAAGTTTTGCAAGAGACGACGGGTTTTGCGACGCGTGAAGTCGATTCGGTGCTCGAATTTTTCAATTCGCCGATGGCGGCAGTGTGTGTTTCCGTTCTGCAGGACGTGGTATTAAATATTTCCGACTCGGTGGCGTCTGCATACGTCGCTTGCGCTCGCGAAAATCGGGCAAATATCCCCGTGAATGGAGGAATCGTTCGTGGCGAAGATACAGGCGCCGTTGTTCGCGTTCCACCGTTCAGAGACGCACTCGGCATCCGTCTCAAGAGCACACGTTCCTTAGAAAAATTTCGCAACGAAGCAGCGATGCGTCTCTGGCTTGAACGTAATTATTACGACGTCCGAGCGATGTACGAGGATTGGCATAAGTTGTGGGGCATGAATGAAAACGGCGAGGTGAGTAATTCTACTCGATGGCGCGATGCGAATAAATTTATACTCTGAGCACGAATTAATTAATTTTTTCCACTCAGTTGGTATCGAGAAAAATCTACGTCTGCCGCCAACCTGAGCTCGAAAAGTTGAAGGGACTTCGACTCTTCGTTTCCATGTTTCTCGAAGTTGCAGACGTGAGTATTCCGCTTTTCAAGAACGCGCTGAATAACTTTAGTCGAATCGCTTCGTGGTTGCTCGTAACATTAATTGGTGCGTTCGAATTAATTATTTGTCGCCTCTCAGCTGACACACTTTCTCGCAGGGCGATCGCTTGGATTGGTGTACAGAGGGATCAAGGAGAGCGTCGATCCGCAAAGTCGTGCGAAATTCACGTAGGTTGTACGAGATGGTCGTCCTCTCGGAAAGGAAATCTATCTGAAACTAAATACAATGTGCGCTATTCTTCCTCCTCGCTCTTGTCCTCGTCTTCCTCATCTTCGTCGTTATCGTCTTCTGATTTCTCCTCGTCGTCATCCGGTCCATTTTCGTCCCCCTCCATATCTTCTTCGTCTGCGTCGCTATCACGCTTGGACTTCTTCGAAGCGGGCTCCGCGTCCTCTGTCTCGTCCGGGTTGGTGAACCCGTCTTCGAGTACCCACCCGTGCTGAAGCAGTAACTCGTAGACGCGAACGGCCTTGAGCGGGTCAATTTTGAACATGGTCCGAACACGGTTTCTAGTTAGTGGTGTCTCGGACTTCAAGCCCTCACGCATCAGTTCTAACTTCATCGCCAGGTAGTGCACGGGCAACAGGCGGCAACTCGTGCAGAGTTCCTTCTCGTCTTCGCTCAAAAGATCCACACCTGGTAGATCCGTGAGATCAAGAGCTAAGTACATGCGGCGACGAGTTCCAGTACTCGGAGTTCTAGGCGTCGGTATCGCAGACGTCTTCTCTTCGTCAGCAATTCTAGCCAACTGCTCGTTGATCTGTGTGGCGTCTCGTATGATAAACTTGTTCGCCCTGGCTATGTTCTTACTAGTCGGATGTTCGATCGCACGAAGGCGCGCGAACTCGGTCTCACGACGTCGTTTCTCTAAGTCGTAATCTTCGCCCTCAGCTATGGTATGAATGCCGTTACGCCTCCACTCTTTCAGTTCGGTGATGCGGGAGCGGAGTCGGTGCTCAGCGGCGAGACCCTCCAACAGCATCTCATAATCCGTGGGTGAAAGGAAACGAGCGAACACGCGCATAGTGCCATGGAGATCCCGCTCGTATTGACTTCGCTTCTTTTCGAGATTCTGCTGCTTTTTCACGTTCAAAAGATTTCGTTCAAGGATGAACTGCTTTCTTCTCGCTCGCTCTTGAAGCCGACTGTTGTAAATTTCAATCATCCGCAGCTTCATCTGGACGTCTTCTTCTGTGTCGTTCTCCCGGAACTCCATCTCAGCGAGTGGAAGCTCAGCATCCATATCGTATTCTGGATCGAATTCATTGCGCTTCACGTTGTAACCCGTGAGCTCCTGTACGTTGCCCTCTGTTTTCACAGCATTCGGGTTCGCGAGGGACTCGAGCACCGCCCGCTCCTCATCAGCCTTGTCTTTATTTTCATTCGCTTGCTGTTCCAGTTCAGCCTTCAGCTCTTCTTCCGTCATGCGCGGCACCCCTTTGCCAAGAATTTTCGACATGTCTGGCAGCGGAGCGCTCGGTGATTTCACGTAGACTTCGAAGTAATGTGCGTGGCACTGCGTCTTCGTCTTTGTCCCAACGTGCTCGCTCACCTCAGTCCAGTTCCCCAACCCGAACATCTCCACCGCCTCCAACAAGAGCAACTCCTCGTCCGCCCCCCAGTCTCTCGTGAAGAGTGGGAACGACATGTTATCGATGACGTGATAGTCGTGATACGCCTTGTGCTGTTGCCGCTCTGCGCCCACGGAGAAGCACTCGACGCATAGTTCGAAATTCGAGCACACCGCGCATCGTATCCGCACCACATTCGAGATATTTTTCTGGCAGTACGCGCAGTTAAACAACGCGCATTCTTCTCCGCCGCTGAGCTTGGTGAGCGCGTTCTCCGTCGCCACCCGTCGTCTCTTGGGCGCGAGCGCGCTCGCCATGATGTCTTCGTTCCACCGCCTCGCTCCTCGTTCGATCCGTCGTCGCGCTCGAGAATGTCGCTTCGAGAGACGTCACCGGTACCTCCGCGCTCTCGCTCGCGTCTCGCGCGCGAGCTCGACCGACGCGCGCGACCGTGTGCGGGGACGACGACGCGCCCTCCGACGGGTTCGAACGCGACCTCGACCGTCCACGCGACGCGCTCTCGTGGACCAATCGTATTCGTGTGAATCACGCGTTGTGGGGGTTTTAACGGTATCGAGAACCAAACATTCGAACGACCCCGTCGCGCGGGAAAAGCTCGAGAGGGTTCGCCGGGCGACCGCGTCGGCCTCTTCGCGACGCGTGTCTTTCGACATGGCGACGCAAATGCAGCTTCGTGGCGTGCTCAAGGGGTGCGTGCAATTATCTTCCGTGCGATTGTCTCGTCGTTACGCGCGCGCGATCTCACGTCGCGCGCGGAAGAGCGTGTTCGTCATCGGCGAGAATAGGGTCTGCGATCGATCGTTGTCACGCTCGTCGATCGTCAAGAGCGCTCTATGAGCGCTCTCGAGGACGTGAAGCGATCGATATCGATCACGTTCATCTTCATCTACGCTCGTATCCACTAGAAACCGCTCGAGAGGATCGTGAACACGAAGACTTACTGTGATTATTTTTCGCTCGCTTTTCAGGCACGAAAACTGGGTCACGTCCATCGCGACCCCGTTGGACAACTCTGACATTTTGTTGTCCTCCTCCCGGGATAAGACGGTGATCCTGTGGAACCTCACCCGTGAGGAAGAAAACTACGGCTACCCGCGCCGATCCCTTCACGGCCACTCGCACTACGTGCAAGAGGTTGTGATCTCCAGCGACGGCCAATTCGCCCTCTCGGGCTCCTGGGACGGCACGCTCCGCTTGTGGGACCTCAACACTGGTACCACGACCCGACGCTTCGTTGGCCACACCAAGGACGTCCTTTCCGTGGCCTTCTCCGTTGACAACCGTCAAATCGTCTCCGGCTCCCGGGACAAGACGATTAAGCTGTGGAACACGCTCGGTGAGTGCAAGTACACGATCCAAGACGCCGACGCGCACTCTGAATGGGTGTCCTGTGTTCGCTTCTCCCCGGTGACCACCAACCCGATCATCGTGTCTGGTGGCTGGGACAAGCTCGTGAAGGTCTGGAACCTCACTAACTGCAAGATTCGCACGAACCTCGTTGGCCACACTGGCTACATCAACACCGTCACCGTCTCTCCGGACGGTTCCTTGTGCGCCTCCGGTGGGAAGGACGGCGTTGCCATGCTCTGGGACCTTGGTGAAGGCAAGCGTCTCTACTCCCTCGATGCTGGTGACATCATCTACGGCTTGTGCTTCTCGCCGAACCGCTATTGGTTGTGCGCGGCGACTGAGTCGTGCGTCAAGATCTGGGATCTCGAATCCAAGTCCATCGTTGACGAGCTCCGCCCGGAGTTTCCGCCGGTCGGCAAGAAGTCCCAACAACCGTACTGCACGTCCCTCCAATGGTCTGCGGACGGTTCTACGCTTTACACGGGCTACACCGACAACGTCATCCGCGTTTGGTCGGTTGGCTCCTCCGGCTTGATGTAAGCAAGCCACTGGCTCGATTACAAGCGCTTCCGCTTTGTCACCAGAACAGGCAGGTTTGAGTTAGTAACTGTAACAGATAATGTGCCTAAAAACTTAAAACTACATCTCCTAAAATCTACCAAATCATCGTCTTCGTTTCACGCCCGTGCTCGGTCCTTCCTGCCCGTCGTCGTCCATATCGATTGTGCTCGTGTCGCCCTGAGCGTTCGTGTCTTGCTCCGCCTTTAACGCCTTCTTTGTCTCCTCAATCGAGGCACTGACTTCGTCCTCTCGGTTGGCCAACTTTGCGCTCTCATTCTTGATGTACGTCACGCGCTCATTCAGACTCACCAACATTGATTCCGAGATCTCGAGCCACCGCGAAACGCCCAAGTGAAGCTCGTCCAAGGCGCTCGCGGGGACGTCCCGCGTCGTCGCCCCTTGCGGCAAGAAGCACCCATTCTTCGGGTCCAGCTTCCCTCGCACGATCCCGGTCGAAAGACACTCATCGACAATAAACTGCTCCAGCTCTTTCACGCTCTCAAACTTGAGTTCACGCATCATTCGATCGTACGCGATCGTTCCGTCGCCCGTCGCGCACATCGAGCACGTCGTCAGCCTTCGAAGCTTCAACCTCTCTCCCTCGGTGAGCTCCAACACCGAGCCTCGCTCCCTCGATTCGTGCGCTTCAAGGTTTCCGTGCGCAAACGTTTCCAGGGTGTTCGTCATCGCCTCTCGAGCGTTCGCCCGTTCGCCGTACGCTCGAAGAATGTCTCCGTACAGAATCACCCCTGGATGTTCCATCGCGCGTCTGACGATCGCCTCGACGTCTTCGTCCCTCGTCGAGCGATTCGCCGTCATCGTCACCGCGCGCGCGGTGAGTGTCTCCGCGTCCATCGTCGTCGTCGCGTCCATCGCGCGCGTCATCCCGCCGACGCGTCGACGAGTGCGAACGCCCGCGCGCGTCCCGTCACGGTGGCGCGACGACGAGACGCGCGACGCCGACGACGCGAGAGGACGACGGGTCGCACCGCGCGCGCGGGACGATCGATCGCGTCCGTCCACCGCGCGCGCGCGAGGGATGTCCGCGCCGATCGCTCGCCGCGCGTCGAGCGTCGCGCGGGGGCGACGCGGTGGTTGACGTCGACCTCGATCGAGCGCTCGCGCGAGTGGTTCGTTCGCTCGCTCGGATCGGCGTCTGACGGTGCGGCGAGTGCGAACGGACGAGCGCTCGAACTCTCGATCGCGTCGTTCGCGATCTGGGGGGCGAACACCGGGGTGGGGAAGACGCTCGCGAGCGCGGGACTCGCGCGGGCGGCGACGAGGCGAGGGACGGCGACGACGTTTCTGAAACCGGTACAGACGGGATATCCCGAGGATTCGGACGCGGGATTCGTGGCGAGACAGACGAAAGGGAACGAGACCGCGGGAGAGCACGCGGCGGTCGCTTCGGGGTCGACGGAGGGGGGTGGGGAGGGATTCGCCGCGGGCGTCACCCGGGCGCACACCGAGTTTGCGTGGCGACGCGCGGCGGGACCGCACCTCACGGCGGCGGAAGAGGGACGACCGGTGAGCGATGAAGAGATCGTTCGAGCGACGAGAAACTATTTGAGAGAATTCGCGGAGAGCGCGAGGGAGGGAAACGCCCGGGGTTTCGCGGTGATCGAGACAGCTGGAGGCGTGGCCAGTCCCGGACCTTCCGGAACGCTCCAGTGCGAGATTTTGCGAGCGCTTCGATTACCCGCTATTCTCATCGGAGACGGAAGATTGGGAGGAATATCCACTACCACGTCTGCGTATGAGTCGCTGCACGCCAGAGGGTACGACGTCGTCGGAGTTCTCATGGCGGATGATGGGTACGCGAACCACGAAGCGGTGGCGAAAATCCTTCCTAGCGGAACGAAAGTGTTCGCACTGCCACCGCTTCCGCCTCAGGGGAAAGCCGACGCTTGGCTCGAGAAATCCGCCGGTGTGTTCTCCGAAGCGTTCGAAACTGCGATGAATTGGCATGAGAAACGCATTCAGGCCTTGCAGAAACTTCCGGGAGAAGCTCTGGAGAAGATTTGGTGGCCGTTCACGCAACACGCAACGGTTGAACCAGACACCGTCACGGTGATAGATGGAAGATACGGTGAAGATTTTGAGATCTACGATCAGGAAAAGGGAAGAGACGGCGCTATCGATTTGCGGTTTGACGGCGCGGCGAGTTGGTGGACCCAAGGGGTGAGCGCGGAGTTACAACAAGAATTGAACAGTGCGGCGGCGAATGCGGCGGGACGATATGGCCATGTGATGTTTCCCGAAAACGTACACCAGCCATCGATGGATGCAACGAACGCGTTGTTAGAAGGTCCTGGCAAAGGATGGGGTTCCAGAGTATTTTATTCCGATAATGGATCGACAGCGACGGAGGTGGGGCTGAAGATGGCGTTTCGCAAGTATTACGTTGATGCTGGGCTCGTGTCAAAAGATGGTCATCAGAGGGCGAAAGATTTGATCAACGATGGATCTTGCCATTTACCACAGCTGCGAATAATCGCGTTAGATGGTTCGTATCACGGAGACACGCTGGGAGCGATGGACATGCAGTCTCCAAGCGTTTTTACTGGTCCCATGCAAACGCCTTGGTACCAACCTCGTGGCCTTTTTCTACAGCCGCCGAGCCTAGCCATCAGGAATGGCGAATGGACCGTCGCTTTGCCTCCCCACGGTCTTTTGAACGATGGAGAAGATCGCCTTTTCCACGATGGCAAGGATTTGGAGTCTAACACGACGTGGAAGAGTAAGGCGGATGCGTTTGACATTGGGAAGCGGCTCGACAGTCCACTAGCAAATGAATATAGACAGGCCGTGGATAAAGCGTTGGAGCGCGCCGAGCAGGATGCGAAAGCTGGTCATATGGGTCCAGTTGGAGCGCTCATGATGGAGCCCGTGCTTCACGGCGCTGGTGGGATGGTGCTTATAGATCCGCTCTTCCAAAACATTCTGATGAAGGTGTGCCGCGAGCGGAAAATTCCAATCGTTCTGGATGAAGTTTTCGCCGGTATTTGGAGACTGGGCACCGAGGGTGCTTGGGAGATCATCGGTGAAAAGCCTGATATTTCGTGCTACGCGAAGTTGCTCACGGGTGGGCTCATGCCGATGTCAGCGACCGTCGCTACGGCGGATGTCTTTGATGTATTTTATGGTCCCGGCAAGGCGCAAGGTTTGCTTCACGGGCACTCGTACACCGCATACCCCATAGGCTGTGCCGTGGCGTCTAAAGCGTTATCGCTGTACAAAGATCCCGCCAAAAACCCAAATTTGATCGTCGATGCGTCGTCGAAGGGTGACACACCGACAGCTTATCTGCGCGAGCTCTGGGACGAATCCAAACTAAAGGAGATATCCAACAAGAGCTCCGTACGTCGCGTCTTCGGTCAAGGCTGCGTTCTCGCCGTCGAGCTCGAGGTCGAGGGCGAAGGCGGATATAGCTCAAACGCCGCCAAGGAAGTGGTCTTGCGTCTTCGTCCTCACTCCGTCCAGGCTCGTCCGCTCGGAAACGTTGTGTACTTGATGTGCGCTCCAACAACGCCAAAGGCGACGTGCGATCGACTCCTGAATGTGCTTGCCGAGGAACTATCCGAGTAATCGCACTTTAACGAACTACGCCATGGTACTCACTATTATCTATCTCCTCTAATATTTGTAAAATTTGCGTTGTCAGCTTATGAAATACGTACGATGGTAGTTACAACGACGCGTTACTTACTTGCTGCTCACGGCATCTTCCTGCTCAAGTTTAACTTGATTATAGTGAATAGTTTGCGCCGGTCCGGCAGGACTCAAGTCGTGCGCGACATCGTGCGTGAGGTAGACGAGCCTTGCGAACGGTTGCTGCGTGTTGGGCTGCGGGTTGTTCTTAAGGACGAGAATCTTTGCGCCCTTGGGGATGACGACGCCTTCGCGCGTCGCGCTACACGACAACAACACTTTCGGGCGATCCGCGTGCCAACCCATATCTTGCCACAGTCCGCAAATGTCGTGAAACTGTGACTTGGTCTCGATCGTCGCGTACCGATTGATGAGCTCTCGCTGCGCCGCGAGCAGGCGTTGCAGATCGGGTGGGTGCCCGAAATCTCCTCTTCGCGTCATCTCGTCGAGCTCGGCGTTCACTCGGTCCAACACGGCATCGCCACTCTCTCTTCTCTGCTGCGTCGGGGATAGGTTCATCTCGTCGTCGTCGTCGTCGTCGTCGTCGTCGTCGTCGTCGTCGTCCGTCGCCTTCTCCGGACAACGTCACGGCGTCGACGCCCAACGGGTGTTTTTTTCTTGAGTCATGACTCACCGGTCGACAAAAACGGAGCACCCCCCGCCCCGCCCCCCCGCGCCCCGACCGCGGTGCCTCGTTTCACCCGTCCCTCGCCGAGATCGCGAGATCGGAAAAAGTGCCTCCGCCGCGTCGGATGCCCGATGCGCGTGAATCGTCAACGAACGATCGCGTCGTCACTCGACGACGTCGATCGCGTTCGATCGCGATGGCGGAGCAGGTGATCGTCATCGGTGGCGGCCTCGCGGGACTGTCCGCGGCGCACACCGTGTTAGAGCACGGCGCGCGCGTGGTGCTGCTCGACAAGTGTTCGTTCCTCGGCGGGAACTCGACCAAGGCGACGAGCGGGATCAACGGTGCGTTGACGCGAACGCAGGCGAGGTTGAACATCCCGGACAGCGCGGATAAGTTTGAGGATGATATCATCAAGGGCGCGGCGGGCGTGGGACACACCGAGGCGCCGGCGCACACGATACCACTCGCCAAGGTGTTGGCGCAGGGGAGCGGCTCCAGCGTGGATTGGTTGTGCGAAAAGTTCAAACTCGATCTCTCGCTCGTGGCGCAGCTCGGTGGGCACTCGTATCCGAGAACGCATCGCGGGAAGGAACGATTTCCGGGTTTTACGATCACCTACGCCCTGATGGAGGGACTCGAAAAGGTCATGGAGGACTCGAATGGTGAGACTGCGCGAATCATCACGAAGGCAGAGGCAAAGCGCTTGTTGACCGATGGAAGCGGCACCGTGATCGGGGTTGAGTACGAAAAAGACGGGGTATTAAATCAAGAGTACGGTCCGGTCGTGATCGCCACCGGCGGTTTCGGCGCTGATTACAAACCCGACTCTTTGTTGAAGAAGTACCGTCCAGACTTGCAGGCGCTGCCGACGACCAACGGCGATCACTGCACGGGTGATGGCATCAAAATGGCCATGGCCGTCGGCGCGGATACCATAGACATGACTTCGGTGCAGGTGCACCCGACGGGACTGGTGAACCCGGCGGAACCGGATTCCAAGGTGAAATTCTTGGCCGCCGAGGCTCTTCGAGGTGTTGGAGGCATCCTCTTGGACGCGAACGGCAATCGATTCGCCGACGAACTCGGTCGTCGAGACTACGTCAGTGGTGAGATGAATAGGAATAAGGGACCCTTCCGCTTGATCTTGAACGGTAAGGCGTCGACCGAGATCGAATGGCATTGCAAACATTATGTCGGCCGTGGTATCATGAAGCGTCACGATTCAGGAGCTGAAGTCGCAAAAGAGCTCGGTATCAGCCCTCAAAAGCTCGCGGATACCTTCGCCAAGTACAATGAGGCTGCTAGAACGAAGAACTGCCCGTTTGGCAAGAAGTTTTTCACGAATGCTCCTTTCGAGATGAACGACTTCTTCCATTCCGCCATCGTCTGCACTGTGGTACACTACACGATGGGTGGTCTCGCCATCAATACGGACTCGCAAATCGTAGGACCTCGGGGGCCAATCCCCGGGTTGTTCGGTGCGGGCGAAGTTGTCGGCGGTATTCACGGTCGTAACCGTCTGGGTGGCAACTCTCTGCTCGATTGTGTCGTCTTCGGTCGCGTCGCCGGCTCAGCGGTCTCGCGCCACCTCATGTCGACAGCTATCAGGGCGCTCAGGTCTGGACAAACCACGGCCATGAACCGCGTTGCGAACCTGAATGACAAGATCAATCCGCCAGCGATGAGTGCGGCTCCGGCCGCGGCGTCTGCCGCTTCTGGCGGTGGTTCAAGGGCACTTACGATGGATGAAATCAACAAGCACAACACTGAGGGCGATCTTTGGGTGATCATCGAGGGCAACGTCTACGACCTCACCAAATTCCTGCCCGATCATCCGGGTGGAAAGAAAGCAATCATGCTCTTCGCGGGTAAAGACGCTACAGAAGAGTTTAACATGTTACATCCACCGAATGTTCTGAAGAAGTACCTCTCACCTGACGCCAAGATAGGCACCGTTCTAGGCTGAGGATCTCACACACTCTCGCATCCGTACACGAAATCTACACTTACGTTTATCGAGCAATTTTAGCGAGCGCATTACAAAGGTCTTTTGAGCTACGTGTTATAGCATCGCTCATGCAATAAAAATACTACAGCTGACCTCACACTTGAGGCCTTGTCTGGACGATATAGATAGAACCATTGTCCGCGATCGCGCCTTCGATGTCTTGGGGAGATCCACACAGATTTTCAATCTCCAGGGCGATCTTCGCGACCATAGACAGCATTGTGCGTCGCTTAGATTCGTCTGTCATGAGATAATCGGCTGAGTAGTCGACGTTTCTCAGCGTCGCTTCCTCCATCGTGATGCTGTCGTAGAGACCGGCGCCAGCAAAACCTTCCAGGTCTTCGCCGTTACTGTCTGAGCGGAAAATAAGCGTGTCTTCTTCCATGAACAAGGCCTTGGACTTCGATGGGAAACCAACTACAGTGGGATTGTCCAAGTCATTCTTTGAAGCCTTGAAAGACAACGCTCGACCAGAAAAGTTACCCACGAGAGTCTCACCAAGGCCGCAAACGAGCTCGCCATAGATCTCGTCCTTGTTGTTGTTTTGAGGATTCACAGTGTGCAACACGAATGCGTAACGCGCACGCACGACTGGTTGACAAAGAACAGCCATGGATAAATCAGCGTGATTTAGAGAAGCCTTTCGGCAGCTCAACACCGCTCGCTCGTTGTACTTACTCGCCCAAACACCGAGAATAGTCTGCCACGCCTTCTGGCCCTTTGCACTCGTCAAAAGATCTCCGGGCCAACTCAAAGATTCAGCCAAAAAGGCAGTCTCTAATGTAGCAGAAAGCTCAGCGTTCGGTTGCAATGTCCTGATGCACGCCTTGACCTTCGCGATGAGTTCTCTGAATCCTGCGCCGTCAGTGTAGTCGTATGTCTCAAGTTGCGCAACAAGAGCTGTAAGCTCCGTCTTCGCTTCTGCATTCTGCGGCATGTCGAGAACGGCGTCAAATGTACCGAACGGCATGGCGACAGATGGTGGTAGTTTAATGAGATTCGATACTCGGCCGCGAAGGAGTTGAAGATTACGAGACTTCCCGCCGACAAGCTCAGGCGTGAACTCGGACGATGTTGCGACAAACTTCCCTTGAAACGGACGCTTTATGATCGAGACGCCACTCACTGCAGATGCGTTCGATGGACTCGAGCTCTCCAGAGAACTAGCTTCGACGCGATCGACGACCTGCACTTGCAAATCATCACCTTGTGCAGATGGCTTGAGTTCGACCGACTTCCCATCCATGCCCTTCATGTGTTCAAACATCGACACGTCAAACGCAGTGGCAAACAGAACTTTCTCGTTGCGGGCGCGAACAGCACAGTGAGAAAGAATATCTGGCATATCAGGTGTAATGATAGCGACCACACCCACCGGAATATCTTCTTCGCCGCCCACTCTATCGGAGATGAGGACAGTGGGCTGAGAATATTTGACATGCTGCACTTCGGCGAGAGATCTGACAGGTACAATCACACCCGCGCATTCAGCATTACTGACGATCTGCCAGCTGCCCATTTCTGCGACGTTGCGAATGATCGGGTCGATAACTCGAAGCATCTGTGAAAGCGGCGCTGCAGCTGTGCCTCGAATGACTTCTTCTGAGAAAATATCAAGCACGTGTCCATCGACGCCGAGTTTCGCTCCCATGCTATGCGCAGTGGGTTGAAGGGCATCGATATAGCGCTGAGATATTTCCGCAAGAGAGTTTTGCAGTCGATCACATACTGCTTTTCCCTGCAGAGCCCACTCACCATTTCGTCTCGCCGCTTCGAGCACGTTTTGCCACTCCTTCAGGCAAATACGCAGCTCGTAATTACCGCTCGTAGACATGCAAAGGTTCTCGAGCACTAGACTCATGATTCTGAGTACTTCGTACGGAGCGCGCTTGGGCAAAGACTCGAGGCAGCTTTCCACGACGGCTCTAGCTGCGCCTTCCAGCGCGAGATCGAGATAGATGACATCTTTGATGCGATCATTCGATTTACCATTCGGTCGAGTCCAAGTCCAAAGGTACCTTCGAGCCTCAATCATCGCCTCCAACGCGCACAAAGGATCCTCTGAGCGCAGCTCTCTGGCGGCATCCAGCAACTCCTCAAGCCTATCGCTCGCAACCCCGTGGATTGGCGGAATGTTGATCTCCTTCCCTTTGCAAGCATCTTGGTGATAGCCCAGACATGCCTCGGCGGCAGAGTCAAGATCAGCCCCAGAATGCACCGCTTTCAGTGTGCGAAGATACTCCGTCAAATCAGCCGTCAAACCTGCGTACTGCTCACGCGAGAACTTGGGTTCGCTGCAAATCTTGCGATCATACGATGCCATGCGCTCGGCGGTGATCCCGTTTGCGTGCAAATGCGCCCAGTAGACGTTGATGTCACAGTCAGCCGCGATGAACTTAAGCAAAGCTTCACAAATAGGTACATCATCCGGCGACGTGTTATTGTGCAACTTTTGATGCCATTCCTCCATCATACCACCCTTGCAGTTGTTCTTCTGCTGTACGGCGAGGATTTCATCCCGGATACGTTGACCGACGTCGCCAGAGCCGCCTCGGCCAATCGTCGCCATGATGAGGCGCACAACATCCCTGTGCTCACCGTTTTGCCTATAAATCGTGCTGAGACCCTCGGTCATTCTGTTTTGTGCTGCGCTAATCTCTCTAGGTTTGATGTTATAGTCATTGTTCCAGACTAATTGTCTGAGAGCCATAAAGCGGAACCAGCAGAAGAGCGCCGTGAGGCCTGGCTCTCCGTTGCCGTGCATATCACCAAGCATATCCGCACCAGCGTTGTAACGATGCATCAACGAGCGCGTAGCGCCCGATTCCGCGTCACAAATTTTATTCACCATGTTATCAGCAACGAAACCACCCAAATTTTGGAACGCGCCCTGATCTATGGCGATATCATCTGCGTCCCAATGTTGCCGCTTGATCGGCGCCGTCCTCTTCTTCTCCTTCGCGGCGACAGTCGGCTTAGCAGGACGTTCCTCGCGTCGCTTCTCCTCTCGTACGTCCCGTCTTTTCTTCGATTGAGACTTTTCATTCTTCTGCGGACGTTCAAGAACCGAACCTTCTAAGCTGGCGAAGAAGTCCTCTTTTCCATTCTTGATCCATCTATTTGACGTTGTGCGCAAGACGAAGATGACACCTTCGCGAGCACCCGAATTCACGGGTACATCCAACGTCACTCCGCGCAGATGACCGTCCATTCGCTCGAACTCGGTTTCCCAGCTGACTCCAGAAGAAGCCCAAGAACGCGCCGGCGTGGTGCTGAAGCCGTTCGGCGGCGGCTGCCAAGTACCATCCGTTACCTTTGTGACGGCCCAGTGGAGGATGAGGTCATCCTTAGACTCCGCCACCACGTTGAGTTGGATCGAACCACCAACGAGCTCCCTAGCCTCAACGTAAATTGTTTCATCATTTCCTTCGTAGAGCTTATTCCATTTAACCACGGTGTTGTCAGCCGCGCGTGCGTTTGCCGCGGCTTGAAAATCGGCGAGGGTGAAATTTGTTCTCGTATTGACCTTTGTCATCGACTTGGACGGCGTCTTCAACGTCTCCTTCGGCTGAACCTCAACTCGTGTCGGCGAGATAGACGTCTTAATGCCGTCGATCTCGCGCGAGATGCTCTCCAAACTCATCCCACTGGATAATTTTGCCTTGATTTGCTCTGCCGCATTCTTGAGCATATCGTCTCGCTTTCGCGACGCAAGCGCTGGTCGACCCATCTTTTCCCACTCAGCGTGCGCCGTGGCGGCGATGAGTCGCTCGAGCGGATCATTCGGTGGCGATTGTACCTCGACCTCGATCGGAGTCTTCGTCTGGAAGACTGCGCGCGCGGGCGCCTTTGATACCGCCGGCGCGACCGCCCGCGGAGTCTCCGAGTCGGCGGCGTCGAGTTGAATCTCAAAGTTCCCACCATCCGCCGCGTTGATCCACTCTCCCGTTTTCTCGACGTGCAACACGAATGCCACCTTTCGCGCCAAGGGATCGAGCACGAGATTGATCGGCCCCCACACTGGAAAAGCGCTCCGCATCGCCTTCTCTCCGTGATACTCCGTGTTCGGCGGCAGGAGCTCTCTCGGGAGCATCTGCCACGTCGCCCCAGTGGCCTCGCGCACGACCCCCCAGTGAAACGTCACGTCCCGAGCGCTCACAACGCCTCTCGGAAGCGTCTTCATCGACACCGACACCGTGTGCACCCCTCGCGCGTTCGTCGTCGCGCGCGCGTCCACCGCCGCGCCGTCCGCGCCGCGCGCGCGCAGTTCCATCTTCCGCGTCCGCGTCCCCGACGCGTCCACCCCCCCCCCCCCTCTCGACCCCACGGGGATCACCGACGCATCGACGATCTCATCCGCGCTCGCTCGCGGCACCACTACCGATCGCGCCGATCCGCAGCCTCCCGTCGTCCGTCGTCCACCGCGAACGGTCGGCGTCCACGCGTGCGGTCGACGTCGCCCGTCCACCGCCCTATCATCCCGCGCGCGTCGTGCACGCGGGACGATCACGCGCGCGCGCGTCGTCCTCGACATCGCTCGCTCGCTCGCCGTCGTCGCGATCGCGCGCGTGGACGTGCAGACGCTCGACGGCGGCGACGCGCTGGCGACGGGTGGATTTTTTGTCGTCGCGTGTTCACTCGTGGCCAGCCAATGGGGGTCCATGTCGCACGTCCTTGTGGTCTCATAAAGGTCCACATCGCACGTACGTCTAGTCTCACATGTGGTCTCATAAAGGTCCACATCGCACGTCCATGTGGTCGTCTCACAAAGGTCCACATCGCACGTCCATGTGGTCTCACACGTGGTCCACGGCTCGCGCGCGTCGCGGGTCGACGACGCGCGCGCGCGGGCATGGACGCGTGCGCGCGCGCGGCGGCGTGCGACCGCGCGTGGTTCGCGAATCTCGACCGCGATGCCCTGCTCGACGCCGCGCGCGCGCGAGACGAGGACGGGCGAAGCGCGTTTCATCGGGCGTGCGCGACGGGGGCGCGTGGACGGGCGATCGTCGCGTTGACGCTCGAGCGGGTGACGATGGAGCACGCGCGGGAGCTCGCGCGTGGGGTCGATGGGGGTGAATGGACGCCGTTGCACACGAGCGCGGCGTTGGGGGAGGCGGAGACGTGCGGGGGGTTGCTCGCGGCGGGGGCGCGGACGGACGCGCGGACGCCGGGAGGGCAGACGCCGGGACACTACGCGGCGAGTAAGGGACACGCGTCGGTGTTGGAGAAACTCGCGTGCGCGGAGGATGTGGGGTGGATGACGAGTGAGGACGCGACGGGGGCGACGCCGTTGCATCGCGCGGCGGCGAGCGGGAAGCTCAAGGCGATCGACGTTTTGGTGGACGCGCTGTCAAAGGGACGAGTGGAAGTGCCCAAGGGCGCGCTCGAGGCGAGGGATAAGCGTGGGCAGACGCCGTTGCTCTCGGCGTGCGAATCTGGACAGGAAGAGGCGGCGATTCGTCTGGCGAAACACGGCGCGAACGTCGAGGCGCGGGACGCCGAAAAGAGAGGCATCGACGAACTCGCACCCAAGCTCGTGAGCGCCCTGCGCCAGATCGCGGCCGAGCGGTGAGCGTTAAAAGAAAACTAGGATAGAATGTCGTTTGTTACAATTGAGTTCCAACGAAGTAGTGTACACTAAGATTGCTTGACTATGCACGCCTCGAGTCCCGCCGCGAGAGCCTTCTCGTCGAGGTTGCGTCCAATGAAGACGACTTTATTCATCGCTTCCTCTAGATTTTCCTCCACAGGACCGTCGGTGATTTCGTACACCTCGCGAACGGCTTGTAAAACCCGACGTTTGTCCGATCCCGAGGTGTATAGCAGGCCCTTGGCGCGCAAAATGTCCGGTCCGCCTTCTTCGTTTCGGCGCTCCCAGAGCAAATCCTCAAACCAACGCTCAAAGGCCGATACTTCCATGAAGCCGCGCGCGGCGACGCACACAGTGCGAATTTGCGCGTCATGCACGCTAGACGGCGCGATCTTCTCAACGCCCTTCGCCCAAAAACCGCCTCCAGAGCTCAAGACGGCGCTCGGCGGCGCCGCCGCAAACGCGCTTAACACCGGCTTCTTCCCGCGTCCACCCGCGGCCACGGTCCCTTGATTGAGCACTATTCCTAAGTCAACTTTCGAGCGCGTCGTTACCACGATCTCTGCCTCGGCGTTGATCGTCTCCAAGCGGGCCTTGATTCGCTCCACATCCTCCACCTGTACCAAGTCTGACTTGTTCAACAGAATGGTATCCGCGTACGCCACCTGTAGCGTCGCCTCCTTGTTCTCCTCGAGCTGTTTCTCGACGTTCGACGCGTCAACCAAGGTCACAATAGAATCTAACACCGCCCCATCCTCCTCCACGAGCTCATCGTCGACCCAAAGCTCGCGCGCCACCGGTCCCGGGTCGGCGAGCCCGGTGGTCTCGAGCAAGATGAAATCAAACTTCTCACCCATCTCTCGTCTCTTCTCGAGCAATCCCTCGATTGTCTGCACCAGGGTCCCCTTGACGGTGCAGCACACGCATCCGTTGTTCAGTTCGACCCAGTCCTCGACCAAGGTTCGCGATTCGTTCGTTCCGTCTACGCCGTCCTGCTGCACGAGCATCTTCTCCACGCCCAGTTCGGCGCCGAAATCATTGAGCACGACGGCGATGCGATAGCCGTGATCGGCCTTTAACACGTAATTCACCAGCGTCGTCTTACCGCTCCCCAGGAAGCCGGTGATGACGCACACACCCACGGGCATGGCGAGCGAGCAGTGTGGACGAAGGCGGCGACGCCGCGCGTCAGAGGCGAGCTAGGGTCCAGGAGGACGACGACGAGGGTGGGACGACGCGCTGCGAATATTGTAAATGTCACAAATAATGCGTATTACGAACGTTTCACGCCTTCTCGGGCGCGACTTCGAGGTCGACTTGCGGGTGAAGCGTGGCGGCGGTGACGATTTCGCTCGGTTTTGAGCCCGCGTTGAGACGTAGCGACTTTTCAGGCGCCGTATCTTGGACGTACGCGGCCAAAGCGGTTCGCAAGAACGCTTGAGCGCTCGATGAATGCAATCTCTTGTGCGCCCGAGCGCTGTTTTCTTCATCGCTCGCGCCTGAATCGTCCTCGGACTTCCTATTTGAGCGGTCCAACCAACCGAGTGCCAGCTTTGCGGCTTCATACTCCGCCTTTGTGCGCATGTCACTTACCCGTCTGAGCGTTTTCTCCAGAAGCTCGCGCTCGATTTCGAGCATTCGTTCGAATTCTCGGAGATACGACATCCCCACTCCTTCTGTCACGCCCTCGCGCTCGAAATTCTCCACCGCCGCGCGCGTCCGCTTCGCGCTCTTGCGCAAAGCACCCAGGCGCGCGCGCGCGTCTCCATCCAATAAATCCAACCACTCCCGCACGTGCTCGATCACGACATCCGCGTGCTCGTTCGCTAATATTTCCATTCCCCTCACGCACTCCTCGTCCACTCTCACTCGCGCATCGTCGTCCTCGCTCTCCGACTCTGGCGCGCGTCTCGCGTTTCGCCCGCGCTTCGCGCTCGCGCGCGCCACCCCCGGCGTCTTCGGCGATCGAACCCGACCGTTCGTCACGTCCACGAGTCCCGCACCACCCTTACCATTCTTAAAACGCCTAAACCCGCCCGTGCTCTCCCGCGTCGCGTCCCTCACCCGTGGTGTCTCCGACGCACCGCGCGCACGTCTCATCTTTTGAATTTGCACCGACGCGCGCGCGTCGTCATCCACCCCCGACGTCGTCGCCGCCGCCGCGAACAAGAGATCGAGCCCGCACGCGCCCGACATCGTTCCCTCGATCGATCGCCCTCGATCGCCGTCGCGCGCTCCCGTCGCCCGTCGTCGTCGTCGTCGTCCACGTCTCGCGCGGAACCTCAATCGCCACCCATCGGACGTTCGGCGTCATCCCCGCCCACGCCCCGGGCGCGGCGTCGCCTCACCCCGTGGCCTCGCGCGCGGTGTCGTGAATGGAATAAACAGTCTCTCGCTCGCGCCGAGGACCCAGGGCGTGCGTCGCGTCGTCGCGGTCGCGTCGGTTTCGGAACGTGCGAGGACGGTCGACGACGACGCGGTCGACGACGATCGACGACGGTCGACGACGCGCGAGGACGACGACGGGCGCGTAGACGCGCGCTCGGCGTCCGGTGCATCCCCCCGCGCGGGCGCGCAGACGATCGAGGGGCGTCGCGGCGGTACCGGCGTCGGGCTCGGTGCGCGCGCGAGCGGGCGATCGGCGGCGTTCGCGCGCGCGGGGTCGACATGTCGCTCGGAAGCTGGGGCGCGATCGTCGGAAACGTCTTACTCTTCGGCCTCGTCGTCGGTTTAGCGGCCACGGTGGAGCGCGAGGCGTTCGTGCGGTCGATGAAGTCCAGGGCGCTCGTCGTGGGGGCGTTTGCGCAGTTCGCGTTTCTTCCGCTCGTCGGGTTTGGGTGCGCGAAGGCGTTCTTCGCGGATGATCCGGCGTTAGGGATTCCGTTGATCATCACCACGAGCTCACCCGGTGGTTCTTATAGTAATTGGTGGACGTCTCTATTCAATGGCGATCTATCGCTATCGGTGGCGATGACCACGGTGTCGAGCATCGCGTCGGTTGGATTTCTGCCGCTCAACCTGTACATGTACACGGAAGGGGCGTATCCGCACGAGGCGAAGATCAAGGTGAAGTGGGCTGGGTTGTTTGTGTCGATCGGGGTGGTGATAGGAGCGATCGTGAGTGGGTTATTCATAGGAACGCGCTGGCCGCGGTCGCGAAAGACGCTGAACGTGGCGGGGAACATGTTTGGCGTCTTGCTCGTGCTGCTGGGTTTCTTCTTCAGCTCGAACTCCTCGGCGCCCATTTGGTCTCGTGGTTGGAAGTTTTACATCGGACTGATGATTCCATGCTTCGCAGGGATGATCGTTAGTTTGATCTGGGCGAGGATTTTGCAGTTGGAGCGACCACAGGCGCTAGCTGTGGCGATAGAGGTCGTGTACCAGAACACGGCAATTGCGTTGGCGGTGATTTTGAGTTCATTTAGTAATGACACGTCGTGCACGAACGTGGCGAGCAACGACTGCGATGTCGTTGGTATCGCCGCGGGAGTCCCGACGTTCTATCAGTTGATTCAGATTCTCTCTCTGGGAGTGTTGTGTGTGACATCATGGCGCTTGGGGTGGACGTACGCGCCCGTTGGTACGCCTTTGCTCAAGGCTCTCGCGACGAACTTTCAGCCGTCGACACACGTAGAATATAGACAAGATCAGATAGATCAGAGCACGAGCGCGCAGGATTTAGAATTGGCGCGGTCGGGGCAAGGCGTGGAGATGAGCGCAGACGTACGTGAGCACGTCGCGCCAGCCTAGTGGATGTGTTGCTAGTAATTATGTGCTTTCACACTGTTAGATTTCCGGGAGGTATTTCGAGTCCGCTCGCACGATTCTGTGCGCCTGAATGCATCCCTCGTACTTACCAAACGTTCTTTTCACCATGATAAAAACCCAATCGCTCTTTGCACCGACTTCGTCGCTCACTCGAACATCCACGCGCGTGCGTCCGTCGTCCATCGTCGAAATGCCTAAAATCTCGTGACCCGTATTCCTCACGAAATCCGCGAACTGCGCCAACGCCTTGCCCTGAAAGTGATCGAAGTGATACATATCGCTCGAGAAGCCAAAGAATCGGCTCCGTTCCATGTTCGCGTGCTCCACCGCGTACTCCCACATTACTTGAACGCCGTGGTCTCTCCGCGGAATATCCAGGTCCCGCATCGCCCATAAGATCAAGTTCACCGCGTCCTCCCACGACTGCATCTGGTGCGGATACACGAGAGGCCCCGCAACATTCTGCGGGTTTCTACACACCCCGACGCACTTCGATCCGTTCTCCTTCATAACGGCGTCTCGACAAAAAGGACACTCCTCTGAGGTTGGGCGAAAAGCTCTTCTGTCGATGACTTGCATTAAGATCTCATCCGCCGTCTCGGGGGCGCCCGGGGTGTACGCGCTTTTATCGCCCTCGGCCAATCGCTGAGCGACGCGCCGGCGCGTGCTCGTGCTCGCGCGAGCGATCGGGAAGGGGGCGCAGCGGGACGCCATGGGGAGTCAAAGTGTGGGGAGTTGGTTGGAATCAACTTTCGAATTAAATGCGGTTGAACGCGGAAAATCGTGTGGTGAAGAAGAATATTAATGAGACACCTGATGACGGATCAGTTCGCCGGCGCAGTGGAGCCGCCCTTGGCGTGCTGAACCACTTCTATTATGGCCGGGATGAGACTCAATACGACGATACCGGCGACGCACAGGGCAAAGTTTTCTTGCACCGCCGGAATGGTGCCGAAAAAGTAGCCCAAACCCATGAAACTCGCGATCCAAAGCGCACCACCGAGGACGTTGTACGTGATGAACTTGGAGTAGTCCATGCGCGCGACACCGGCGATGAACGGGGCAAAGGTGCGGACGATGACGAAAAATCGCGCCAACACCACAGTCTTACCGCCGTAGTTGTCGTAAAAGCTCCTCGTCTTGGTGATGTACTCGGGTGGAAAAATCTTCGGATGCGTCTCCATGAAGTTGGCGCCGACGAAGGAGCCGATGGAGTAGTTCACCGTGTCCCCGAGAACCGCCGCGACGAAGAGTAGCGCCGCCGCGAGCGGAAAGTTAATGACGCCCAGTGATCCGAGCGCGCCGCACGCGAAGAGCAAAGAGTCTCCCGGCAAGAATGGTGTCACCACGAACCCAGTCTCGGCGAAGATGATCGCGAACAAGATCCCGTACGCCGCCTTCCCTTGCGACACGAAGAGCTCGGCCAGGTGCGTATCCAAGTGCACCACCCACGACAACACCTTCGCCCAGAACGACCCGTCGCTCCCCGCCGCCGCCGCCACCGCCTTCCCACCCGCGATCGCGCTCTCCGGCGTCGCCAGCGTCGCGATCACGATCGCACCGATCGCGAGCGCGCTCGCTCTCGCCGCCCGCGCGCCGCGCTCGACCCTCGTCGTCTCGCTCGCCGCTTCCATCGTCTCCACCCCTCGCGCTCGCGCGCCGCGCTCGACCCTCGATCGCACCGCGTCTGCGCTCCACGCCTCATCCCTCGCTCGCGCCCCCGTCCGCGCCGCCCACGTCCCGGTCGCGTCCATCCGGCATCCGTCGCCGCCGGTCGCGTCCATCGCGTCCCGCGCCCGCGCGTCACCGCGCCCGCGCGCGCGG